TTCCAGCTCCCCAGATACTCCGCGTACTAAAGTTGTACTACCAAGTCGCCAGTTCTCATCTTCCAGCTCTCCAGATACTTCGCGCACTAAAGTTGTACTACCAAGTCGCCAGTTCTCATCTTCCAGCTTCCCAGACAGATACTCTGCGTACTAAAGTGTAATGCAAAGTCGCCAGTTCTCAGCTTCCAGCTCCACAGATTGCTCCGCGTACTAAAGTTGTACTAGAAACTCGCCAGTTCTCAGCTTCCAGCTCCACAGATTGCTCCGCGTACTAAAGTTGTACTACAAAGTCACCAGTTCTCATCTTCCCACTCCCCAGCTACTCCGCGTACTAAAGTTGCACTACCAAGTCGCCAGTTCTCATCTTCCAGCTCCCCAACTACTCCGCGTACTAAAGTTGTACTACAAAGTCGCCAGTTCTCAGCTTCCAGCTCCACAGATTGCTCCGCGTACTACAGTTGTACTAGAAAGTCGCCAGTTCTCAGCTTCCAGCTCCCCAGCTACTCCGCGTACTAAAGTTGTACTACAAAGTCGCCAGTTCTCAGCTTCCAGCTCCACAAATTGCTCCGCGTGCTAAAGTTGTACTACCAAGTCGCCAGTTCTCATCTTCCAGCTTCGCAGATACTCCGCGTACTCAAGTTGCACTACAAAGTCGCCAGTTCTCATCTTCCAGCTCCCCAGCTAGTCCGCGTACTAAAGTTGCACTACAAAGTCACCAGTTCTCATCTTCCAGCTCCCCAGACACTCCGCGTACTAAAGTTGTACTACAAAGTCGCCAGTTCTCAGCTTCCAGCTCCCCAGATACTCCGCGTACTAAAGTTATACTACAAAGTACACCTCTCGCCTGCATTTCGCGCACTCGACACGCACGATCTCCGCAGAGGGTTGCGCGCGCACAGACTCAATCGCACTCTCGCCTGCAACGCACGATCTCCGCAGAGGGTTGCGCGCACACCGGACGAATCGCGCTCTCGCCTGCAGTTCGCGCACTCGACACGCACGATCTCCGCAGAGGGTTGCACTTTCGGTTGACGCTGTTCGTCCCACCCTCCGCCTTTAAGAGAGAATTTATAAAGTGGGGAAATGTTTTTCATTAGGACATCTCCCGTGCTAGTTTTCCATGCTAGTTTTCCATGTTCACTCATCACACTTGCATACTCATTGCATGCTTGCATACTCATTGCATGCTTGCATGCTCATCATTAGACTTGCATACTTTGACATTTGCATACTTTGCACTTGGATGCTTTCGCTCTTCCAGTGTGTGTGTGTGTGTAAGTGTAAGTGTCGAAGTGTAAGTGTCGAAGTGTCAGTGTTCAAAGGATTTTCCGGAAGAACCCTTCGCAATGCTTTCGGGAAAAATAATCAAAGAATATCATCCAGGCATGTGAAACCCAGATGTCAGAACGTCAGCTGGCCAACCATGGCCAACATCCGTTCAATCGGCACTATCACCGTGTTGGGTCACCTCATACCAACAAACTCAGCATCCTGAGTGGCTGGCCGCTGCTGCAAAACCCATTGCCTAGAGACTCCAGCTGCTTGGCAGGGCACACCTGACCGGCTCGAGCATCAATTAATTGTCGACTAGATATAAATAAACAGTTCACCAGTTCACCAACCCAGGCAGGCTAGGATGGTTGAGGATTCAAGTTCACATGACTTAGAAATACAAAGAGTATAATTATACCGACATCAGCAGCATCTTGCTCAGGCAGTTTCTGGACTTGAAGGGTAGGCCCTGCAAGCTTCGGTGTCATCAAGCAAATATCATGCCCCAAAGATCCTTCTGCCCAACTACGCGCAAAAAGGACTGCTCTCCTGAAATGTTAACTGCCAAACTTGTCCATAGGACCAAACGCCCTCTGAGGTGGAGTGAAGGGCTGCTGAGCTTAAGGCTCTGACTATGATTGTTCTTGACTTGGTCCAACAAATGCTGTCAACATGTTCCTCCTTGTTGTGTTAATGGAACTGCAAGTGATTTGTGGCGGGCAAATCGATTCCAAACCTTGAGAAGCGATGAGCAGTAGCGATGCCAGGAGCCCCGTTCGTAGCGTTCGATCGCTCCGTTCGTAGCGATGCCAGGAGCCCCGAACGTAGCGTCCTTGTTCCTAGTAGTAAGGCCAGGAGCTCCTAGTAGCAGGCCTTTTTTGTAACTTTACTTTTTGGACTTTACGTTTCTTCCCTTCCTTGAATTCCCGACGACTTGGACGCGGCGCCGTAAGCCCGAAGGGCGACGGCTTCTTCCACCAGAGGAGTGCTTTTGATGGTTTGACCCTCCAAAAGGAATCCAGCCTCTTACGAACTCGAACGACATCAACAATATGTATGTTTGCTCTCATATGATTGCCTTCTCATGCGTTTGTCGATGTCGTCATCTGGCACCTCTGGCACTTTGCAGCGGTGCCCTGTGAGGCAATTGGTCACTCCTCAGAAACGCTGATGAACTGCCCGAAATACTAGGAGCAAAGAAAGCTAGTAGGAACAAGTGCATCGCTTCTAGTAACAAGTGCCTTACTAGTAGTAACAAGGTTCGCTACTAGGAACAAAGAGAAGAGAAAGGCGTTTTAGGAAATTCAATGAAATTCATCATTCGTCCTGACCCAGCTGGACGAACCACACACTGGAACGTCGCACCTGCGTGGATGGTCAGGAATTCGGGTCGGTCATTCTTGTTCGTTCGTGTTCAGGAAGAAAAAAACAGGTGCAACATCATGAACTCCCATTCCAAGCTTTCGGATCGAAAACACGTAGTCAACCGCACCTTATGCGGCTTAGCACTCAAACTGTTTTCATGTTCGGACCGCATGAACTCAGCCAGGCACCGTTGTGCTCCTGGTAGCGGCTGCCACATGCCTCGTTCTGGCCACTGAACTCGTCGCACCTCCATTGATCACCGTTCTTTTTGGCCAACTCCTCGCGCTGACTGACTAGCTCGGCGACCGTTGAACTCTCTTGAGCAAGATCCATTTTGGACACCTAAAAAACTGCAGTAGAAGAAGGTCCTTGGTGCCGGTGCAATCTGGAAGTTCATGTTCAGACAGTTTCAAGCCCAGGGCAGCAGAGAAGAGGAGGACAAGGACAAACTTCATTGTATACCTCACGCAGATGGGCAGCATCATTCCATGCTTTCACTTGAAGCAAGACTTTACAGGTCAACCAGTTAGACTCTGCGAGAATGTCACGAGCCACTGTGAACTCTGTTTCCTCAGATGCAACCGAACAACGTTCCTTGGGGAAACCGGTGATCTCCCCGCGCCCCAAACACCACGCCTGGGTGGACCACTTCGCCCACTGACTCCACCGACGCCGCGAGACGCGGTGAAGAGCTCGAGCCCAAGCAGCACCGGTGAGGTCGGCAAAGTGAGAAGGTTCCACGCTCCATGTCTTCTCTGCAGTCATACCACAGGACCATCATAGGACCATGTGGAGAGGACTGTGGAGAGGCCATCAGAATTGCTTTCTGGTGGTGCAAACGACAAAGCAAGACGCACCGATCTAGAAAGTCACAATCATATAGCTTCCAATTGAACGAATTGACGCAGCATGCAGCTCGTCAGTGGAGATGAAATGAAGGACAATGACATGAACTATAGCACCCTAATACATTTGGCAAGCTATCATGAAGCTTGGAACTTTTCAGAACTTCATGAGATCGCCATTAAGACCTCAAGAGATCCACATACGCCACACCAAACCAAACGACCCCCTGACGCTTTTTCACCGCGACCTCGATCGAGAGCTCACTCAGGTGGCCCGGTGCCGCAGCGGCCGAAGCTCAGTGCCGCAGCGGCCGGATTGCCATGTTCTGCCGATTTGGAGGCGAAGATACGCACAAGATACACAAGGATGTTGGAGAGATAGATTCATCGCACAAGCAGGTTGTTTTTGTCCAGCTACGGCAAAAAATGCAAAAGGAAGGGAAGATAAAACAGTCAAGAAATGGATGTGATCTCGTCAACTGCTTTGCATGGTCTGTTCGCGATGACCACCACTAATTCTACGCATGGTCGGCTAACTCTCATCTTTGCCTACATAGCATTTGTTTCAGCCTTGATATGTTCGAAGGCCCAGTCTTTTCCATTCATCTCAACACAAAAAGGTCCCACCTGGACTTGGGCAACTTGGGCAGGTCGATGCACAAGTCAAGTCGTTGCTGACAAGTCTTGAATCCGTCGGGTAAAACCTCTGACGAAGGAAGCTTCCTCTCTTGGAAGTTGAGAAAGCTGACAACTGCTCAAACCCATCATCATAGGAGCCATCAAAGTTGCACAAAGTAACCATGCCATCTCGGCTGGGACCAATTGGGCTTCGTGCCAATGAGAGCGCCAAAGTACAGCTTGAAGAGCTCTGCATAAAGGAGTGCTACATGATGCCAGTTACCATCCAGAATGGATGCTAACTGATGCGCATAGTGACGGAAATACAGTCATCCTGGGTGTTACAATAAGCATCTGTGCCCATCAAATAAGAATGGCCTTTGTTGGGTGTCTCCATGCTCTTGTACATGGATCATCGCTTCCTTCCATCACCAGCTACCCAAAACTCTCCGAACTCCAAGACCGGCACCGCGTAGGATGCGAAGCCTGAGCACTCGGCAACATCACATCAACAGCCGCTGCTGCTGAACTGAACACCAAAGGAACCTGAAAACCATGGTGACCCCCACTGCTATCTTGCAATTTGGCATTTGTCTGCGTATACTGGAGATTGTTTGCCTTTTCAGGTTTCATATCTTGTTCATAATTGTTGGTGCAACCGAGTTGAGGTATGGTTGTTACCGCTGGCTGAAACCCATTTCTGGGACAGGGGCTGAGGGGACACTAGCATACTGCAGGGAATGTGATGCCAATGCGTACGCTTTGGTGTCTTAGAGTGTCGTGTGCTGGCATTGGACATTGTATTGACATTATGCTGGTGGAGTGGTTCTGGTTCTTGTTCTTGTGGCGGCGCTCTTGGTAATGATAGTGGCCATTGGTGACGAGTGGCGCTCTGCATGTCCCCGCGGTGTGGGCAAAACTGTGTCCACGCGGACGGATGAAACCACATCTTACAAGCAGATTCCGTGAAAACGAATTCCGCCCGAAGACGAAGCAGCCCATTCTTAACAGGAATCGTCCAAGAACCAGAGTTATAGAGAATGAAACGAACAAGGACAAGAACAAGTATCCACCACCACATGAACAGGCTAGAAAAACCGCCAAAGTAACATCAATCACGATGACCTACCCGACCCACAGACCTGCCAAACAGCTGAGCAAAAGCGAAACGGGCAGTGGTATACCGGGCCGACCTGTGGACCTGTGTGTCGGTCACGGTCATAGCCGCCAGCCGGATCCATCAAACCTTTGACCGGATCCATCAAACATCATCAAACTGCATGTCAGTTGGCAAGATGTGTACCGAACTTGGCAGACCAAGTAAAGCAAAGCACGTGGCGAACAGAAACGACATTAGAAGAACCACCTGACATGAGCAACAAAGGAGCACCAGTGAGTTTTGGCAATCGTTCCAATCAGAAGTGGGCTGGATGGAACTTTTGACTATTGGATGCGATTGGATGTGATTGGGCAAGTTTTATTCAGGTGGCAGAGAAAGTGCATCGAGCGACGTGATGGCCAAAAAGACAAGGAAAATGCTCGGCCATGCCGATGTTGTGTCTTTGTAAAGCCTTTGCAAAGCCTGTTTTCGAGAGGCCTAAATTGTTCTTCCAACTAAGGGCTACTGTAAACGCATCCAGACTACAGGTTAGAAGAAACACACGCAGCCACAGATTGGACACCTTGGACATATCTATTTGGGCATGTGTTTGTCAATTGTGTTTTTGTCATTGGGCATTTGGTGGCATCGATTGTTTGTTGTTTTCTCTGTTATTTTTCGTGGCGTTCCTTGTCATGTTTGTGTTAAGTCTATCATTTGTGTTTTTTGTTGTCATGATTTTGTCGTCGCTTTGTCATTTGCAATTCAGTGACATCCATTGTTTTGTTGTTTGTTTTGCTATGCTATGCGCGGTGTTCAGTGTCTTTTTGTCATGTATATGACATTGTAGTCACAATCCGGAGCAGCTATTACCATTTCTCCCAAATGCCAGGTGAAAACCTCGTGCTATGGCATCCTGTGGACCAGGGAGGCGAAAGAATCATCAAATGACGGAGCAAGATGAGCAAGAACACCCAACATCTAGATGAGTGGAGAACACTGTGGCAATGCTTGGTATCCCTAAGAAGGGTCAGTAGAAAATGTTTAGATAATAAAAAGAAAGCCACAAAGGAGACATAGATGGAGACAAAGGACGAAGTGGATCGCACCCACCATACCAACCATGCCAAAAAGGCATGTCCAATTGAATCAAAGCTGGAGGGCCCCTTCGCACAACTCATATTTCCTCAACCACTGTACTCCAATTTGAAGGGTAAATCGGTCATTCTGATGCGTAGCAGATGTGCCTCATGGATCCTTGTAGATTCATCAATCCAGTTACTTTGCAACTAAGTGGGCCTCCCAACATTCCCAACTGTTCAACTTATCTCCAACCTCCAAAAATGATGATCGACATACCATCTTAGGTAGTACAAACCGAGCGCACATCGCCCCTGCAGAAAATGGGTGAATTGCCTCGAAGGCAGGAAAAAAAACACCTGTCGCACGCAGACAGGCCCAAGCTTCCGTTGGAAGCATCCCTGGCTGCACAGCCGGATCCTCAAAGTCATTTATTTGATGTAGAACCTCCTAGAGGGCCCAAAACATGTGTGGTGAGTTGGAAGTCACAAGACCAACACCCTTGCGCCCTTGCGCTCGAGTAGCCTCAGCACACCTTCAGAAGAAACACACCAAAAGTATCAAAGATCCGGCTTCCAAAAATAGCCGTATGATGCTGAATGCGTTGGGACTTTGATACCAAAGAGGTGCAAGTCTCAAAGTCCCAAAGTCTCAACAGAGGTGTTTTCATCCGGCTGTCAACTCACCTTGAAAACCCCAGAAAACTCTCCCAGCAGAGCAGCAGGAGGAGTTGAAGTTGTCGTCCAGAGTCCGCAGCGAATCTCATCGGTGACCTCGCACAGTTTTGTTTGGTGGCCTCGCCCCACTTCAGGTTCCATCGGACATGAAATCCCATATTGGTGCCAGCATTCCGTTTGGTCTCGACAAGGGTCATAGACCTCCGTCCTTGTTGAATGAGGAGACACGAAATCAAATTGAATTCCGTTTCAGTCATGATCTTTGATAAACCCATTAAGAAAACTCGAGGCAAACCTGCAGGGTTAAACAGGACTTCTTTTGAGGAAAGGTTGGCCGACCTAGGAAAACAAAGGAAGAGAAACCCCCCTCGTCTGCCAAAGTCAAACCAGTTCAAAACAGCCAGCCTGTTGTGGACGTCAACGATTCAGCCGGGACATTCTGGACGAAAGGAACTGGACGAACTGGACGAACCTGCTGCAAGAACTTGTCCGAAAGCGAAAAGTATGACAAGTTAAAGTCACAAGCTCCGCACCAGCCTTGTAACAGTAACAATCATCTCCTGTACCTCAGCTCGCGTTCAAGGTGGTTGTCAAAAATCATGAGCTGCCCAAGGAGCTTGTCAGGAAGATTGCATGTCGTTGTCAAGAACGACTTGGAAACGCAAAGCAAAAACAAGGACCAACCCAGTCATGCACACCTATGAACACATTTTTGTCCCAGTCATCGGGGCATCCACGAGCCAAAAATCTGTACAATGTGGCCATGTTTTGGAGGACTCATCAGTTTGCAGAGTGCTTCACCGATCAGCTCTCCCACAGATCAGAACCAACACTACTCGGACTTGCAGCTTGCTTCGCCGTGTGGCATGCTGGTCTTTGATCATAACATGACACCACACTCATTGGATGCCCAATTTCACTGGCATTTGTGATGTCTTTGAAGGCGGCTCCATGTCTATACATACACTCAGAATGCGCTTCGAAGTTGACAAACAGAACTAGAATAGTGTCTAGCACGGTGCAAGGACGTTGGATCCACCATGGATTCCTGAAGTTTTGAGGATGCTTATTTGTTTTAATCATTGTCATTATCTTCATATTCTGGCAACTTGTCAACTCTTGTTGGTCTTCCTTGGTGCGCTGGATGAATTCTTGTTTCTACACTGCCGACAAGCAGGTCCCTGGATTAAAAAGTCAAGGGTTTCGGGTTAGAAGCAGCCGCTGTTGCTGGCCGCCATCGATAGAATGTCCTGTCAATTTCCAGGACACCATCAACTTCCACTGATTCTTCCTTTTGCTCTCCATCCGTCTCAATCTCCATCGGAAGCTGATCTCTGGACTTCATCCAAGATCCCTGGCACCCCACGTCAACGGCGAGACTCAAGGTTTGCTCCACCAAGTACTCGAAGGAGGCCGCAAAAACGATGTCTGCACGGGTCAACGTGAAAGTCTGAAGGGCCCTGAGCACATCTTCATACTGATGCGGATGGACGAAAACCAAGCAGCCGCCCTGAATCTCCACCTCATAGCCGGCGCGACTCAGCGCATCGCGGCAAGGTCGCAGAGCCGCTCCTTCAAGAAAATGGCGAGAGGTGTCTTTGCTCATCCTGTTGACCTCAACATGTGCGGAAAACTGTTTATTGGGAAGCCAGTAACCACATGGAAGTGACATAAACATAAATGAATCACGCTTGTATAGATCAGTTTACGCGGGCTTGAGGAAGACTCATACCTTGTGATGACCCGAGTTCAGTGAGTCCTCAGGTGCTATTTGGTACCAGGTGATGACAAGGCTCCAAATCTGTCGCAACGTGCTTCAAGCAACAGCTTGGAAAACAGTGAGCACTTGACTTGATGCATCAAAGGCGCGCGGCCCTTGAAAATGTCTTCTGGAACAAGCTCATTGCGAGGCTCCAGCTCTGCCTCATCATTCAGTTCAGCTTGCAATGGAGCAGCACCAAGATTGCGCTGCACAAAATCTGCATGTTGAATGTCAACAATCATCTGAGCTTCGTCTTCGGGAATATCTGCAGCCGGCTCAAGATGGTACACCATCCTTTGAAGTGATGCGAAACGGACAGGAATTGGATTTATAAATTGATCCAGGTTCTGCTCGACTTGTGGAGTGTACGCTTGAAACAACTAACAAAAGTTTACAAAAGGGATCTGCCATTCAAGTTATATATTATATCACTTCACAAAGCTTGACAAATTGACTGCAACGAGGGTCTGAAGAACTCTAGGGGGGTCGTGTTCCTCCTTCCCTGCAGCTTCTGCATCTGCATCTGCATCCTTTGGCTGTGTGAGATCCAGCGCTTTGACAGGCACATTCACAGGCAGTGTGCCAAGAGTCCTTCTGGAAGGCTGCTTGTCTGCAAAGAGCCCGCCTAGTATGGCCGCCGCCGCAAAAAACTCCAGCAACATTTGCAACTCCTTCAGGAGGTCTCGTACTGCTTCAACAGTCCCCGCTGCTTTTCCTTGCCTCGGACAGACGACTGTTTTTGGTTGGATCAACCAGGGGTCCACTGATTGCTCCGCCCGGCAAGCTGATGGGGTCCAACACTTGTCAGCGACTACACGCATCATACACTCCACCTCTAGCGCCATCTTGAATAAGGTCTTGGCGCTCTTTTCTTTGCTTTCCTCCATCTGGAGCAGTCTTGCATTGCAATTCTTGAGCCATGTTCTCTTCCTGGTGTCGAACGCAAAGGACGTACAAGTCACTTGAATATGTGTGTCCATGATGTTCCTGTCGTCTCTCAATGGACATTGAGAATGGTGCAGGCCGAGTCTGCTTCTGTCCACTTCTGAATTGGCAATGAACCAATGTCCCTCCCATAGCTCTGCTCCGGTCACCGGCACCAGCACGCGCGCGGCCAGCTCACAGCACCAGCGCCGGCGCACCGGGTATGAGACCAGGTCCCACGCACCGCATCGTCCGCCACAGTGTTCGGCTCTTTCCTGAAAACGTGGGTCACCAGTTTGTCTGTACCACTCTCGCAACATGCAAGGTCTATGGCACATTCGATGCTGGGTGCACCACATTCTCTTGCGAACGACAAAATTCCCGCCACACAGGGAATTTTCGGTTGCTAGAAGACTCACGCGGGCTTCATGGGTCAGCGTGGGGCAGTCACCGAGCAAGAACCGGGTTGCTGCCGTCATGGCAGAAGTCAGAGCCCCAAATGCCAGCTAGCAATGACAGGGTCCATTTCCAATCAACTTATGGTGATGTGTCTTTTTCAAAAGGAACTATGTCACGCTATGCCGCTATGTCAGCTACGTTTTCCAAAAAAAGGTCTTGACCGTGAAATGAGCGCCTGACCACCAGCCAAAGGTTTCGGTCACCTGGCTTGGAAGTGGCCAAAGCGAACAGATCTGACATTGCCCACTTCTGGGAACACTGACTTTACTTACTTATCTTACTTAAAGAGCATCCCAAGACCAGACAAGAAAACGAAACCGGCTGAGATCCCTGTAGCCCTGAAGAGAGTTCAAACAACATTAAGACGAAGAAAGAGCCACATCCAAATCAAGAAAGAAAGGTGCAAAGAGAGGGGGAGAACATAAAACAAAATGGAACCATGCGAACCCGAATGCAAACACGCACTCGAAAACAAACGGCCAAACATTGCTTGACATTCTTGTGGGACACTCTTGTAATGCAGTGCTCTTGTGGGACAGTCTTGTAGAACACTCCCAAGTCCACAAAACTGCCCCACAAGAATGTCCCATGAGAGTGCCCCACTCCTTCGTGGCCACTCTTACTCTACTCTTCTGTCGTACTCTTGTAAGACACTTTTGAGGGAGATTCTTGTAGGACCTTGCTGGAGATTTTATGGGACACTCACTCACTCTTGTGGAAAACTCTCGTGGGCGACTCTTGCGCGACACTCAGCACGTGCACTGTCCACCCAGGCGGGGCAAAACCGCGTGGCACAGCGACGTCACAAATAGCAATTTGGCCACACGGTGCGCCACAGACCAGATACAACAATGTAACACCAAGCATCATGGACACCTCCAATCGTGCCGCTCCCCAGCGACACGACGAATTTGCAGCATGATGTCCTTCCCCAATCGCGCGGACTCACACAAACGGACTTTCTACCGAGGTCGCGCACAACCACATGGCACAGCGACATCACACACGTCATGTCGGCACACGGTGTGGATACAACCATGTAACACTGTAACACCAAGCGAAGTGGACACCGCCAACCATTCCCCCGCAAAACTGCATGGCGCGGCCACAGCTCCCAGAAGCCGCTTCCAGTACTACAGAAGCCGATTCCCGCACGACATTCGTACTACCAAGTGGCCAGTTCTGAGGCCACAGCTCCGAGAAACTACCCGTACTACATCTGTGGTGCTGCTACAAACCGGCCAGCTCCCAGAAGCTGCTTCCCATATACTACATGTGTACTACCAAGCGTTACATTTGTTGGGGCCAGTTCTGAGGTCACGCGCGACAGTCTGGGACACTCTTCTGGACACCCTTGTCGACACTGTTGTCAGGTTATTGTTTTGCGGGACACTCTTGCGCAACACTCTTGTAGGAAACTTATAGGGCGCTCTTGTGGACTCTTGTGGCACGCCCTTGTCGGCCACTCTTGTGGGACACTCTTGCGGAAAACTCTGGTGGTACACTCTTGTGGGACACTCTTGCGGGACACCTTTGCGGGACACTCTTCTGGGACACTCTTGTAGGCCACTCTTCTGGGACACTTTTTTGTGGCGCACTCTTGTGTGTAATGAAATGTAACTCTTGCAATTACGACACTCGCTCTTGCGCGACACTCTTGCAGGACACTCTTCTGAGACACTCTGATAGACCACTCTTGTCGGCCAATATATTGGGTGCCTTTTATTGGACTGTGGGACTCTTGTCGGACACTCTCATGTGACACTCTTGTCGTACGAAACGCTCGTTTTGGGGACCATTTGGGGGAGGCAAGAGTCAAGAGTGCACCACCAGAGTATCCCACAACAGTGCCCCACGAGACTTTCCCAGGGTGCCCCACAAGAGTGTCCCGCCAGCCCCTCAAAACCACGACCGCTGACACACCAATCTCAGTGTCACAGCGACATTCATCTCCACCAAGTATCAATTCCTCACGATTCCCGGCGACTGCCATGGAAAGTGAGGATATCACACATGTTCAATCATGTTCATGTCCTCAGCAAAAGTTGCACCCCACCACACGTTTGGAGTGATTTTGACACGTTCTGAGCACACTCCCATGAACCAAATGCGCCATCTGATCTGAGACTTGTCACGAAAGCACAGCTTCGGAGCAGCCTGAAACGCAAATCCCGGCCCAATGTCACAGACACATCCTCCACCCCAAAGACACCACCCCTAAAAGCCAATCTCAATAACTGCGGATCTCACAAAACGCTGCACCTGCGCAGTGAAATCATCCTCCACACTTCAACATAACATGTTAAGCTTCCACAATCTTCCACACGTTTCCTTGCTATGTCAAACGCCAACACCTTCTCCAAAAGCTTCGCCCCCAATGTCAGCACCATAGAGGTCTACCGCGTACGGTTGCGAACGGTTGTGGACGGTTGCGAACGCTACGACAACGAGTCGCGAACAAGACTCTACCCCAGACCCCCAGAGTTAAACGAGAACCCTTCGCTATGCCTCGAGAAGAAACAACGATTTGCTGCAGTTGCTGCAAAAGCAAATTCACAATGCAAATAAGGCGGAAGCACGCCTCCTATGCAGCTTGCAAGCAAAGATGATGCCTGTCGGCCTCATCAGGGGATCAAACAATGGCATGTTCATGGCTGGAATGAATGCAAGACAAAACTGCTGGCCCCAAGCACTTGCTACAACAACTTCAGAGGATTCACACTTCAAACAAATGCCCACACTACATTACATCCAGTTTGGGTCTGGACAAAGGATGGTGAGATAGAGCCAGACTCAAGGATCCCGTTGGGGCACAATGTTTCGGAAGATCTTAACGGTCCCAATCTTGGAGATCCCAAAAAAACAAAAAGCCGCAGCATATCGCAGCATACTTTCTGAGAGAATGGCCCCACAGGCGGCCCACACGGTACTCAAACTGCACGAAAGCGTGAAGACTTTCCAAAGTTGGGTTTGTCGAATTGTCGGAAATAGTGCTGGAAAAAAACAGCTTGGCTTGTCTGCAGAGGGTTGAAAGCCTGCAAGAAAAGTCAGAGCATGAGCCACAAAATGCCACAAAGAAGACCACCTGCTTTCAAGGAATGTGGTCGAATGGCATTTCACATGTCCCGTGAAACCGGGACCGAAACCCCACGCGGCTAGAAGAAAGCACACGACGCTTCCGACTTTCATGACGCTTCCGACTTTTTCGGCCAAAAACTTCTTGGCTGCCACAAACCAATCCTCAGAGTTCTGCGAACGAACGATGAGACCGACTATGTTTTGGGGGAACAACCAACGAAGTCAAAAGGCATCGGTGTGCAGTGGTGAAGGATCGTTTTTTGGTGAGTTTCGTTCGGATGGATTCTGCACCATGAGCATCCATGCGAGACAAGCCAGAAAAGAATAAAAGGACACATCAAGGAGCGACCGGGAAGTCCAAGGCTCTAGAATGCCATAGTAGATGCCCATTTCCATGGCCCAGTGGGGAAGTCCTCCGCCTGGCTCACTCAGAAGTAGAATATGCACGTGCCAGCTCCTGGGTTGATCTCCCGCGCGGAAGGCGTAGCCACCTGAGGCAATCTCAGAGAAGATTCAACAAACTTTCCTTGCTTCATGCTTTAAACTTTAGACTCTGAACCTTCAAAAGCAGGATCATTCTTGGTTCGCACGAATTGCACAATGACATCCTTTCACTCCGTGGCGTGCAGAAGTGTTTTATATTACTAGTAGCTGTTTTGAAAGAACTTCTTAAAGCACAGCCCAAGGTGCTGGTGTGATCGATTGCACGCACCTTGCCTTTGCTTGGTGGAGCTGATACCAAGGTCTTCAGTACTGAAGACCCACCGTTCTCGATCTTTTCCACCAAGAGAGGTGATTGCAATCCAACTCCAGTGCTTACCACCCATCCTGACTCTCTCATCTCTGGTTCCTTCATCAGACTGTCCACCTCTCTTGATGAGACCAAGCCCAGCAAGGCAGGTCGGATGCTGGTTTGCAGCAGGCGCAAGCCCCCTCCGAAGACCAAGCGCGTTTGCACCTTCTCCATGACAGGGACGAACTGTAGCTTCGCACAGTCGTCGATCACCTGGGAATCTTTGCGCCTTGAGTCTCCAACCTAATAACCTACTAGCGATGGCCTCCAAGCTAGGTGTCTCAACGTGACTGACCCATCAACGGGCTCTAGATGGCTCTAGGTTCCAAGATTCTAGACATAAACTTTCAGGCATCAAATAGTCAAAGAGAGGCACAAAACGTCACCCAGGACCTGGGTCAAACCAAACTCCACGTCCCAAACTGGGTCTTTGACCCACGGAAACTGAACTCCACGGAAACCGACGGTCTCGACGGTCTCGTTTTGACTTTGGACCATTCAACCGGTCACCTCGGTGACCATGATGAGCTCTTCCAATGAGACATCCTCCCAAACTGCAGAGACCATCTGCAACTTCAGTGGAAAGCCCTCCAGCTTTTTCTGGCAGTGCCGCGCATCCCGGAATCCGGCCACACGGATCGTGCGGCCTTGGCAAGAAAATCTTCCTGCACTGTAGGAGTGGCAGAGCACTGGAGCCAATTGGTCTATTATGCTATCCGTAGATATCCATCGGTCCGTGACTATGGCATACAATTCAGTCCAGCTCTGAGAAATCCGAAAAAACTCCCACCCCTGGGGCTCTGACACTCATCCCACCAGTGGGCAGGCGCCTGTGCCCACTGCAGCAGATTCTCGGTCGCGGCCTCCACCACGGACGCCAGCAATGCCACTTCCTCGTCGGCGAAAACGAGCTCCTGGCGCTCTCTGTGGGGTGCTCCGTGCTGCCAGGCCGGGCTGTGTTCCCAAGCTTTGGCCCCCCTTTTTTGAAGCGGAAAATCATGGAGAGGAGCGTTAGCTGGAAGCTTCTTGTTACTAGTTACTAGTAGCATGTGTAGAACTTCTGAGTTGACTAGCAACTTCTGTGTCTCCGCGAAATGTTGCGAAGAGAATATGAAGTCCTTGGACTCTTCTGGCCCTTCACATGAAGACCAGCTGCCTATGTTGCAAGCTAGGAATGAAGATGTCGCAAAGGCCAAAGTGCAAGGGAATCGCTTCCCTTCTCCTTATCTTCAGCCATGATGCAAATAGATGCATGGCATAGCTGCATGGCAACTTCGTGTGTTCTACAGTACGGGACCATACGGGAATCCGCAAACGCGTCAAGAATGATCACGGCGCGTCCAACGTCGAACACGACGTTGCTTCAAGATGCTGAACAGCTCATATTGGACGCTGCATGCAGCAGTTTGTCCCACACTTCTGACTTTTTGTCATTGACAATCGTCATGACTAAATGATTTCGTTTGTGCCCAGCATCGCTTTGAAACAATGCAACGTATGTATCTGGCCCGGTGCACTTGCCCGGCGCGCAGCAGCAAAGGGCCGCAACCGCCACAACCGCGCCATGCACGGAACATGCCAAAGCAAAGTAGCTGGTGATCAGATCTGCCAAGCAATTTGGTGAATTGCAGGTGACAAAGCCCCAGAAAACCATGACCTTTTTCACTCTCCGAAAGCCATGCAACCCCTCTTTGAGGACTCTCCCTCTCATGACCAAGGCGGTAGGGGTCGGCCATACTTCAGGAGCGACATTCTTGGCCTCACAGAGAAATGGAACTGTTCGACAGGAACCAACCGATTTGAGTGATCTGCTTCTTGATCTCAAATCCTGGACTGCAGATCACGCATGCTTACGCATGCACAAGGACCATGCAAGATGCACAATTCCAGGCACTAGCACTGAGCGTCTGAGCGGATATGCTTTTGAATCGATCAAGCATCAGGCAGGGTGCCTGGAGAAAATTGACACGCTGGACAACAGGTGCAGCTAATGGCTACACCTACTAGAGGTTCTTCGGACACTTTGTGCGCACAGCAACAGCTGGCTGCACATGAAAATTGAATCACCCACTCACAGTTTGTCGGCGCACCCACTCTTTGTGGGCAGCTGTATACCAATCCTTACAAGGCAGCTGTAGGGGGACGCAGCAAACGAACGCGGTGCCAGTTTGGCTCCGTTTGTATGTTGAGATGACACTTCCAATTTGGACACCCAGGTGAAGTGGAAAGTGTTGGAAATGACCCTCATCGTGACGCACCCGAGGTGTCTCACTGGGGCGGCAAAAGTCAGATCTGTTTCGGTAGAGAATCGAGAAGTATCTGGGTTTTTTTCTGCAATTACTTCACAAGCTACTAGCAACAAGTGCCTTACTAGTAGTAACAAAAAGCTACTAGTAACAAGTGCCTCACTAGTAGTAACAAGAATGCACAAGATTTATACCATAGTTCACAGTGTGTTCACCACAATCGAAAAGACAATTCACAAGCATCGTCAAGGATTCACAGAAGCCAATGGAGACAGAGGAGAAGATTGCCCTATATTGCCCTTAGTGTTTGGTTGAAGCATCCTGTGCTTTTTCCCGCCAAGCTTCTATGATCGCTTTCAGCACGCCCTTTTCTGCCGCCCACAGCGGCACCCCGCCACCTGGACGTGATGTTCAGTCAACACGCCAAAAAACCATCAACTGAATCAACTCCGGGCGTACAAAATACATCAAATACTACAAGCCAGGCAATGGATAACGAAAAAAACGTTTGTTTGAGGGGATGACCAAATGCGCAATCTGAATGAATCTCATAGAAGGATATACAAAGCACATGGCAAAAAGGAACAACATCTTACAATATCTTAGATGCCCTCTCCGGCCCTGCCCTGCCACGAGAGGATCTCGCCTGCTTCGCTCAAGAGGATGTAGTGAACCTTCCAAGTACCCTTTGCACTCGAAGCGGATCGAGCAGCATCATCCAAGGGCTGGAAGAGATATTCACCTTGCTTCACGCACTTCGCGCGTTCTGCGTGGAAAGCCTGCCTTTCAGAAACAGAAGCCCTCAAAAAGATCTTGACAACATGCCAAATGCATTCCAGACGCTCGTGTGATCAATTGCTCGCACCTTTCCTTTGCTTGGTGGCACTGCTGCCAAAGCTTTCAGATATTCACTTTCCTGAATCTTGTCCACCAAGAGGGGCGACTGCAATCCTAAGCCTCCACCCACAACCCATCCATCGGCCATGATCTCCGGCTCCCGCAAGACCGAGTCAACCTCTCTAGCCTGGATGATGCCCATTAAGGTGGGTCGCGTCATCGTCCGCAACACACGGCCCTTCCGAATGCCCCCTCCGAAGTGAAGACGTGTGGTCATGGTATCGATCACGGGATCAAAGGTGAGCTTCAGGCAGTTGTCCGAAGCTTCAGATAAGACCAACAGATCATCCAAAGCGACCTCCTCCCAAACAGCAGTGACCATTTGCAGCTTGATGGGAAAACCCTCGAGCCTTTTGATGTAGTGCATACAATCCTTCAGACCAGAGATGCGGATCTGTCTGCCTGAACTCAAATCATTTGATAGCATTTGGGAATGTAGGTTATGTTGATGAGTCACTTGATGACATATATATATATATAACAATTGGAAGAGTATCTTGGACTTTTGTGCTGTCCCCTGGGACAAATGGTATTATTGAGGTCTCTCAAACGGGCTAAGGCTGCTACTGTCATCCCACCAGGATGCTGGGGCCTGCCACATGATGATCCATCAAATTGGTTGGTGGACACCACAATGTTACTTTCATATAGAATTCTAACATGGCGCGCGTCCGCAGCCGTTAAAAGCAATGTCAACGTATGTCCCAAGCAGCCGTTTCTTTGAAGCGCCGGCGCAGCCTGCGTCCACTTCTGCAAGTTCGCCACACCACCGTCCAACACGGAGAGGAGCAAAGCTTCATCACGCTGGGACAGGTGAAGCTCCTTGGAGCCAGAATACACAAAATCAAAGCAAACTAATGGATGAATCAAGTACGTCATAGTACGTCTTGGGGGAAATCCTCTTCGGTTTCAGAATCTTCACCCATGCGTCCATTGCTGGCAAAAAACACTGCAACAAACCAGCGCAGCTTGGTTCAAGACGCACTTCCCTCAATGCGTAACTTCAACTCACGAGGAAGTCGGTTACCCGGCTTTGGCTGTGCGAAAAGCCGTTCATGCGAACCGGTCAAACAAGCGACTTGGTCGCCGGAATCCAGCCCACAAGTGAAGATCCCCACATTGGCACAAGAAGCAGTGTCTATAATTATATCTACTCTAAACCAGGAAAGTCCTAGCAACACATCCGGGGACCAGCAAACCCCCATGGCACAGACCGCCACGACCGGTAGCCCGGCAAAGTCCTTGCAATCAAGATTTCCCAATGGCACAGCGTGCTTGATGCCCATAGAAATCACGTATTTTGTATGTGGTTTTGGTGGGACTTCGCATGGCACAGCGCCAAGGAACATGGCTTTGTCATGCTTTGTCACGAACCTGTTTTGGATGGAAACACTGTGGTTTGCATGGCAGGGCCTACTACCTGTCAATGTCTTTCATCCTAAGAACCAGCATGGCACAAAGGTTTCATGGTAACCTGGACATGGTACCCACCGATGGGAAAGCAACTAACCTTTCTGATCCTAAATTGATCTTTGGGTCGAACTGCTTGGCACAGATGTGGTGAGTTCAGGACATGGCCCACCAAACCATTCAGCGACAGCGAGCAAAGATTGTTTTCTCACTTTGCTCTTCGCACCTTGCTGGGTCTCACGAACCTGCACTTCCGGTTCTCTTCCCAAGCTTCCAACCACTTCGTGCGAGCTTGGGTATTCTTGAGGCCACCAACTTTCTTGAGCTCTGCAGACATTATCTTGTAGAGCGGCATTGACTTCCTGACTTGGGGCTGTAAATGCTCTCGCACAAAGAAATCTGCCACTGGCCGCACACGCTCTCGCCTCTCCTTGGCAAAAAGAGAAGCCAAATAGTGCACACAGCCATCGCATGTGTTCAAATCCCATTCCTGGTCACTTTCATTGACCTCAGCCGACGGTTCCTTCCCACTGGCAGCAGCTGCGCCGCTTTCAGGTTCTTTGGAAGGCGGAAGCGCTGCTGAATCAGAGGTCTTTTGTTTTTTGGTCCTAGAGCGCAGTTCTGCCAACAAATCTGTCACTGCTTCACGGCTGAAACTTGTATCGCCCTCGGGTACCTCCACCTCTGAAGCACTCTTCCACCCTGACCTTTTGCCATCACGGTGCACCTCATAGGTACCCTTCTCGAAATTTTCATTGGGAATGGAACAGTTTTGACAATACTTGCTTGTTGCCAAGACCCAGACCTGGCACGCCTTACAGCGGGACTTGCTAGGTGAGCACTTCTCAAGGCGTCTGCGGCTTCTCGGCGTATTTGTAGCTTTGGATCACCTCGCTGTATCGTTCAACCAAAACGACATCTCTGTCTATAGACCTTCCAGCTTTCAGACCCACCCTTGCCCACCCAGCAGCAGCCCTTTGCTCTGTCAGAGACTCTTGGGTGATCTCTCTGATTGCTTGAAGGGCCTGGTACATATTCAAGTTGTTCTTCCACTTGCCTTTGAAGGCGGACCAAAGCCGAGCCATGCAAGCATGTGGCTCTTGGTCAAGAGCGCACAAAGCCCGGGTCAAATAACCTCTCAGCATGTACGGCCGTATGCGATGCGTCTCGCACAGGGACAGGAATTGCCACGAGAGGTGCATATATGCACCCCCGCCTGAGTCCATGATGAGCAGGATTTCTTTCTCTTCAACTTTTCTCATGGGCTCAATGAGGCACTTGAGAAGGAAAAGACAAAAAATAGAGCTAGTGCTGGATCCTCCACTGTTGCCCTCAATGCAAGCTTCTGGCCAAATTTGTTTCATGGTATCGTTTGCGCCTTTTGTTGGCACCACAATTCCACACGGTAGGACCACCTTTGAAGGAAGCGGGGCCAAGGGAAGCCAGGAAGTGCAAGTAATGTGTTCCCAAGTGGCTGTCGAAGTCATTGTGGAGGCTTTGTTCTTCAAGCTGTTGCTAATGACTCCTTTCGAGAGATTGTCAGCCCTCTGCGAAAAGCCTTTCTCGTCCACCACAATCACTCTATGGGCTTGGTCAGCTTTGATTCTACCGTCCGAATCGGAAATTCCCAACTCTCTCAGGAGTGCTTCCCACTCGTTGTAAGTCTTCGTGATCGTCTCTGCATTGCAAGCTGTTGCCTCTACCGGTGAGCGGGCTTTGAGTTTCGCAACTGTCAGCCACTCACTTTTCGGCTGCGTCGCCTTGACCCACTGTCGAAAGGTCTCCCAACGGCTTGGAACATCAAAGTCGTCCATCCTAGTCGGAGGTCGCTGAAGCAGTGGCTCTACAACTCTAAAGCTGGGGACAAAATAAACTTAAAATGAACAAATGAAGTGAACCGCGCGCTAAACAAGTCCTAGTATCGATGCATCCAATCGGGCCTCTAAGGAAGCAGGATCACCTAGCGCATCATCCAGAACGCCACTCTTTTCCATTGCCATGAAGCACAGCGCCCGTCTGCAAGTTTCAACAGACAAGGCGTTGCCATGAGTTGCATGCCACTGGATGAACTGCAGGAAGACACGCTTCTCCGCATCCGACAAGCTGTGCCCCTGGCTTCTTCCTGTACGAAAATTCAAGGGGACTTGTCTGGGCAAAGTGCCTTCGGTCTGCAGCAATTTGAGTATCGATCCCAACTTGTTCCTGTTGATCTTGAGAGGTTGGAGATCTGCACGGATGGAAACTGCATACGCACTTCCACAGCCATCGTCCCCGCGGTGTATCATGGTAGCCAGTGCGCCGTACATCTCCCACCTTCTCTGGTCGTTGGCAACCTAGGACGCATGGAAATGGATAGGAAATCCGTTTCTTGAACTCTCTTTGGGCCTTGTGGGTTTGTGGTTTTGAAAAAGCAAAAACGGACCAAACAACACAAAGAAGTGGCAATGCTTGCGTGTGTCTTTTGCTTGCCGTGATCTTTCAATAGCAGCTTGAGGTCATACGAGGTAGGAACATGCAAAATATCATCATTCTTGCCTTCCACACACAACATTCCGTGCGTCTACAGAAAAGTCCTCGGCCACAGCGGCCAGAGATTGTAAAATTGCCCCACTTCCAGACCCAGAGTTTGCGTTCCCATCTGCTACACCCTCTGCATTGGAGCTCGACTGGGGCTTCAACAGCTCAGCAAGCTCGTGTTCAAAGCATTGCTTGCAGTATTTAGGTAAGCAACTGCGGTCACTGTTGGGGATATCCAAGTTGCACCCGCTACAGAGAAACGAGTCTGGTGGAGGAGTGGAAGGCGGTGGCAAAGGTGCAGAAGCATCAGCCTCGCTGGCTGCGCATGCTCCTCAAGCAACCCACAAAACAGTAAACTTTGAGAGAAGTCACTGGGTTTTCGGACGATGTAGCGGACGAGGTAGCGGACGAGGTAGGAACCCTACACCTAAACATGCCACGCAGACATCTCCCCACATGTGCTAACCAAAAGCCTCGGTCAACCCTGAACGTCCTGAAACTTCCGAGAGATCCTGCTTCTTACAAACGACGTCACCGTCTACAATTCGACGTGCCAGGCGAGCGCGGTTCTCTGAAACCAGCAGGCTGGTATCATAGGAAAGACCCCATTCCTCGCACGCCTCAAGCAACCGGGAGTGAGAAAAACGGGCGATTACAGCTTCACTGTACTTTTGGGGAGCCATCAGGCTGCAGTCGGAACGAGAAGCAACTGCAATCCCTCAAGTCTTCTTTGGAACAATTCACGAAACTTGCTCGCAAAGTTCCGACTTCCTAGACAAACATGTCGCACATGTGTACTCAACAAGGAACAGCCAGCTCATGCCTGCCAGGCTACAACAAGTGAAACCCATACGCTTGCTGCTTGGATTGCTGAGAAAAAACAATTTTCCAAGCGCATCAAGCGTCTAAAGGTAAAGCCTTCAGGTTTTTCTGGTTCCCCTAGATTCTGCACAGAATCTACAAATATATAGCCCAGGCTATCCCAAGCTAAACCCTACTGAGCCTGACTCAAACAAAGGTCACACTCACAAACATCCTCTGCTGCAAGCCTCTGACGCTTCAGCGCAGACAGAGACAGCACAGCTTCAAGCGCTCCAGACTCACGAACCAAGCAAGGAGACCGGCTGCATTGCAGAAGCCGGCGCGACTGCACACAGCAAAAACATGTTCCACCCCTAGTCAAGCGCTTGTCCGCGCCAGGGGTGCGAAAGTATTCCCATCTCACCTCATGGCGCTTTGCGCCACAAATCAAGCAGGAACCAATGGCGTCAGGAACTCCTGGATCATAGGATCGTGTCGCTGGGTCAATCGCCTGCTCCTTCAACTGCAAGCGCGAAAGTTGCGAGAAGGCTTGAGCATGCTGCTCCCGCAAACGCTTCGCCAGCTTGGCCAATGAAATTTCCTGGGGGGAATCGCTCACTGCTGGTGACAAAAATTGATTGCGCCTATCAAGGCTTTTGGCCGTGGATTGGGGAAAGTTGACTGCTTCCTGCACGTATCAAGTTTCTATTGAACAGTGCCCCTAATTTCTGGACAGCGTGTTGGAAAAAACCTTAGGCTCCTTCCATGGATGTTCTCAGGGTGTCTTTGTCTCATGACACTAGTCACTAGCCCCCTCTCCTAAAAACGGCGAGCGAAAGCAAAGGAACAACAACAGCAACAACAGCACCAGCCACAACACCAGCACACCGGGCCAAGCATCTGGAGGTTCTACGGGCTGTTGTCGTACAGCTTGAAGCTCCTGGAGGCGTGTAGCTTGAGGGAAGAAGTGAAGCGAAAAACACGAACAAAAACAGAACCCAGTGAAAGCGAACTCGCAAAGAAGCAGCGTCAGCACCAACAACATGACAGGTACACCAACAAAAGCAAACAAAGAAGACACAAGGAAGAAACGAACTACGAGTACAGTGTCGAGTCTCGACTCCCGATACCATGGTGGGTGTGATCAGGGCTTGCCACAAAAAACTTCTTATGACCACTAAGAACGATACATAAATAAATACAACAAAATATATATATATTAGAACTATAGTGCCTGGTCATGCAACACATAGAGATCATCTTTCACCAGCTGCCTCTGGTAATGGAAGAGACCCAAGCAATAACCCCATTAAAGGGCAGAGCTTCCTCTGACAATGGTTAGATGGGACAAGTTGACACGCGATGCCGAGAAAGCCCTGGAAACCTTCAGGCCAAATCCTTGGCCACTGACTCTGGTGATGCTTCCCGTGTTCTCTTCCTCTGCGGCGTCTCCATTGTGAAGCAATCAACGGAGCTGTGGCCACAAATCTTGGGCCAAAGAAAAGGCCAAGCACTGCATATGTCAATCCAAACAAAACCATGGTTCCAGCCCCAATGGAGCAACCACCTTTTGAAAACAGTGGACCCACAGTCGCAAGTGACTTTCCCCATGTAACAGAAGAGCATGGGTTGCCTATAGAAGCATCTTGATGCATAGCTTTCACCAATGGCACACCGGTTTTTGGTCAGATCTTCCACATGATAGGCCTCATGATGGGGGTAAACCCAATGTACAGCACGGTGTTCAATTCCGAAAGGCACAGAGACATTAGACACCAAAGTGCTGCATCAGGTCATTATATAATTCAATATCATTGCTATGGTTTCCTTTAAACTCGAAACACAAGCAGCACAGAGTTCGCAACGACTTTTGAAAATAACAAATCACAATGGTACAGGCTCAAAATCATGAATTCGCAACGACTTTCCTGTTTGGGAGTATAGTCCCTACAGTTTCTATACTTATATCCGCCGACCCCGGTGCAAGCAAGGAGGAGCGCGTCAGGGAATATAAAATACTCATTCATTCCCATCACATGGATCTCATCCTCGTCAAGGCTCTCTAAACTCTTCATCGCATCGGACCCAGCTCTTCGCCACGGTGACGGACAGGAGCCCCATGGTGACGGCGGATCCCAGGGTGAAGACGTCACACCACGCGGATCCCTCTCCTGGTGAAACCACCGAACGAGCCGACGGCGACGGCGATGGCATTCACCCGTTCACCGCTCGGGGGCCACATCCACCTCAACGAGATGCTGGGGCAAAGCAATCAAAGATGCTTGGGTTCAACCTCCTGCGCCTTTTTGTCCGGTTTGGATGAAACATGATGAAACAAGGTAGCACCAGGTGACAGTCCTGGCAGTTGCACTGGCCGTCTGCGAGCCCTCCACGAGAATGGGCGGAGCCGCCCAGAGTGGAACGCTCGCTGGAAAATGGGTCGCCATGCCAGGTACATGAACACTACAAACAAAAGAGGCCAAGCAGACACTGCCAACTATGGCAAACATCTCCGAACTTCCAAGAGCCTTGTGCTTGTACAAAGCGTTGTGTAAGGGCCTGTAAGGGTAAGGTGTGTCTTATTATGTTGCTCTTTTGTAGCTTGTCAAATCTCGTGCTTTGTGCAAGGATTGCCTCCAGATGTTCAATCCACCCGTCTTCAGCATCTTCCATTCAAACGGTCTTCCATTCTTGGACGAAAGCCAACAGCTGTGGGAAGCATCTGAAATCACTGCAAACCGGCAAAGTATGTCACTTGCCATGGCATTCTGCGACCATTCAATGTGCGGGAAGTAAGTCAAATCTCAAATCTGAGCGTTAGTTTTTTCTCTGAATTCCTGGTGAAACGCAGCTTTTGTGCACAGGCAGCACCGTTCCAAACACATTGTTCGATGTGTCTGGTTGCCGGAACGCCTCTGTCATGAACAGTGCCTGGTCTGCGCACACAAAGCTTGCTGTGAGACCTTGAGTCTGGCAATTTCTGTGATTTGTGTAAGCACGTGTAAACATGTGAAAACTATTGAAACCTGATCTAGAACTTGTTTTTGTGTAAAACTGCATGAGAAAGATGTAAGAAAATGTGAGAAGTAAGAACTAACCATGTCTCAAATGTCTTCCCCCGGTTCTTGTATCTCCTGCTCCTGGTCGCTTCTGACCTTCACGGGGCCAAGTGTGGAGTTCTGTTCTTTCTTTAGCGAACTTCAACTATCTTCAAAGTGTATCTAAGTCTCGTCTACCTAAATACTTGTAGGTCAGACCGCTCCTGTCTCGTTCCTGTCGGTCAATTCAAGCGCTTTTCGCTCGGGCACCAAGAATCCCTATCAAAAATGAGAGTAAACCAACAATTTTCCTAATTACCCCAACAGCCTGAAAATTAGCAAACGAATCGAACAATGTGTTGCGCCAAGTGGGAAGTGTAGTCTTCTGTATTGTGGTCACCCAATGTTTCAGATCTGGACGCCTTCTCCATTCGCCAGGCCAGCTCCTCCACAGCCATCTGCATCTGAGCCTTAGCTGAGGATGCATTTAAGTAAGTTGTTCAGTTCACAGTTCACCTCTCCAAGAATACTGATTAAACAGTATTGATTTCTGGAGCTTTACCAGAACCTAGACTGCCCAAAGCGCACTGCTAACATTCCTCAGTTCTGCTTCTCCCTGCGTCGGCCAGAAACTAGTCACAAAATAAAACTCCTGAAAAGTCGGAACCACGATGTTATGTTCACCTTTTTCCCAGAATGATCAGAATGCCTTATATCAAAATCTGGAATCCAGTCGTCTGTAGCCACGATCCAACCACTCAGGGCCCAACGATACGCTCGGTGACATCGTGAAGTTCCGACCTCAAGTGCTGCCAACCCGTCCCGTTTGTAGATCGCCCCTGTCAGGGTACCCTGTTTCAAAAATCCAGAAGGGATGTTGCTGCCACTTCCTTCCACCCCGGTGGAACAACATGCCATCTGGAGGTTGCCTAAAATGTTCAGATTCCACAGAGCTTGCCTATGTTCACCACACCCAATCTCACACCTCATCTGTTTTCTTGGTTGCACTCGAGTTTTCTCCATTCAGAATCATGCGTGAAATGCTAGGGAGCCCAACTTCACCTCAATGCCAACCAGCGTCAGCTCGCTCAAGATGCGGCCAGACCTTATCCATGGACCCCAACCTATAAACCTCATCTTCAAAGACGTTCCATAGCAAGAAAGGAAAAAAGACAGGTCTACAAAAGGGTGTCAAGAACAGTGTAAACAGAAAAAAAACACTTTTAAGTCAAGATCGCCCGCTATTAGGTTGGAGGCCATTGCTAGCAGGGTAAAGGACACTTAATGTGATGGTTCAATACCATGATGTAATTACTGTACTTTCAGCAGCCTACCGCACCCATGTACAGTACCATCACCATCTGCCGACGATGACTCCCCCACCCAAGGTAAAGCACCCCCTTCTCCAAGACCCCGGCATATGCTCGATGGCTCTCTTGAGCTCCTCAAACCCGAGATACGGGTGGACTGTAGGGCTACGTAGCTATCAAACAGCTTCTTTGACGAAAGAGGCGTTGGAATGTCTGGACCACCAGGTTTTGCTCCTTCCCTACATCCAATCTGAGCCTTACAGTACCAGGCTTTGCCAAAGTACGAGTACAGTAATGGAGTTCCCAACGTTGCAAAAGGACATAAGAAAGAAGACATGAAAAAGGGATGGCAAGGCTCTTTTGAAAGCGGGTCTTTAAGGTGTCTCGCCTTCTTTCTGTTGCATGTCTTTGTTTTTTCTTGTAGGGTGAAGTTCTAAATCTAAAAACTCACAAGCTCCTTGTTGTTCGTATCGGTCCCAGTCCCAAGTCCTCTGAGTTTGGCCGGAGAGGCCCCTCGCTGGAATCATGGCTGAATCCCGAGTGACTTGACCTCGATTTCGCAACTTTGCTTTCAAAACCCCCATGAAGAATTTGATGATCCAGTTGAACTCCTACAGCAATCTCCACTTAACTGATGATGCATGATCTTGCATCATCTGAATCACAGGCTATGCTAATATCTTGTGAAAAATTGAATCTGTAGGTTGCCAGCCTACAGATTGCATCATTTGCATCATCAGCAGATATCAGCAGTGCTTACGACCGTGCATTTGCTCAAGAACTACACACATCACCCTTTTTGAGATGTGGGCCGATCATCATCCGTGATCTTCTTGCCACCCCTGGCATAAAGAGACGTTCGAGAGAAACGCGCATCCACAGTTGCAATATAAGCACCCGAAGATCACAACCGTGTAACTATTGAATGTGCGCACCACATGGACTCAAAATGCTGAGACATCTCAGTAAGCACGTGAAAAGCAAAAAAAAGATACACCCCCTGTCAGACCAAATCAATCAGCTTTCAGATGCGTTCTACAGCCAGCGGTGCTCCGAAGGGTCGTCAGAAACATGTCGGGTCCACTTTTCGCTGCTGACCTGGAGCGCTTCACTTCGACGGCGTCGGATCGACGGCTTGACTGGCCTTGTCCTCGATGGCAGCTACGGCTTTCTTCCTTCCCTGACGACGGGAGGACGAAGAAAACCCCGTCTCCTTTAAAAGCTACTAGGAACAAGTGCATCGCTAGTAGTAACAAGTGCCTTACTAGTAGTAACAATGTTTGCGAACGTAGAAACCATGATTAATTAATTCTTGTTCCCAGTCCATAGCTATTTATCATGATTCATGAGGTATCATCATGTATAAATCACTTTTGACACTTTGACACCCTACCAAAACATGAACACCTTTCGAACATCTCAAGGTTAATGATGGTATTGATGGCACCTTTGTTGTTTCTGGGAACGCTTTTCAAAATCTGCGGCCGCCTCTTTCGAAGGTGTGTCTGAAGCCTCATCTTCATCCTTGGACCTATCAACTTGGATCTGACCAATGCAGTCGTGCGAAGACTGTCAGTGACAAGCTCCGGATCTCATGCCTCTCTGTCATCTTCAAATATCTCACGTAGAGTGAAGGAAAGAATCGGATCATAGTCCTGCCACACAGCTTGCTCAAGGTGGAAGATCTTCCGTTCAAACACATTCTGAGGTTCTCATAAAGCACAAAGCCTTTGGCAAACCCAGTTTCAACCCCGCATTCTTGGCCCAAAACTAGGAACCAGAATCAACTGGCGGCCCCTGGCCTTACTGCTAGGAGCAAGGACGCTACTTGGGGCTCCTGGCCATTCCTGGCCTTACTACTAGTAACAAGAAGCTACTAGGGGCTCCTTGCATTCTTGGCCCAAATTCCCACGCCCTGGCAGACCATGCCTCTGGGTGAAGCCGCAGATTGCCCTATAGACTTCCTCCATGGGTTCATCCTGTCGAGGGATTCCCAACCGTTTCACCGATCCGTTTGATTGAAGGGAAAGTGTCTTCACAAACATCAATTTCACAAGAAAAGCAATAGCCTAAAAGACACTTTCCTTCAAATTGAATTTGCCCTGAAAGAAAGGAAGTTTGCCTTTTGTCACAAATTATTTTTCGCGACTCCCCAGAAGCCTCGTGCCAGAATGCTCTTTCTGCTGCTTTGGCTTCTCGTTCCTGCCCAAGTTCCGTGTGAGAACGACAGTGGTTTGACGCTTTGGATCCCTCAAAGTTCCGTGCGCAATGCATTTCCGTCCCGTCGCCTTGCTGTACTTGGCGATGAACAGCCTTGGCTTTCTCCCGTTCCGTGCGTCGTTGAAAAGACACGCCACGCGCACGGTCCCTGTATGAGAACCGAGGGCCCAGCGCATCTGCCATCATCGCAAACATGAGTGCCAAGCCAACCTCGAAACCACTTGGCAGGTTCGGTGTCTCCCCAAGCTTCAAAGCTTCATGCAGATGGACCTTTGATGCATGTAATGCAGTTTCCTTCACAAAGAGCTGAAGAGTCCCTTTTCGATCATCGCACATCCTCTGGCAGCCAGCTTCGCTGCAGGAATGGGCAAGTGTCCTGCAGCCCGATCCTCAAAACAAGCAAGGCTCTTGGAACCAAGCACTTGAAGGAGTTCTCAACATTGTCAACCACTATGACTATGATTACTGTGTTGGCAACTCTTTGCATGTCTGATACGATCATATTTGTCTCTGTCCAGAACATCAATGCAAGATTCCCTCCCTGTTTCCTTGCTGCAGGTCGTCTATCATTCCATTCCAAGTGTCCACTTGAGGACTACGGCATCTTGTGCGCGATCCCAAACGAAGCCAAAGCGATCTTCCCCAGCCCGGTGAGCAAACTGTACCAGCCACCCCGTGTCCCAGGAAGGTCGACCAAAGCCTGACGGAAAAGGGTACGCGCGAACCGCTGCTAGGTGGATGGACATCATGACTCATGACATAGCTTTTAAGTAGGAGTTCAATACACTCTTGTCACTCTACTCTACCGTGGGTCATTCCATGTCATTCCTGCACAATAGGTCGACGTGAACATTCTGGATCATTCTGGAAGTTAGAATCACAGAATGACCAAAGTTCCGTTGTTTTTTGGCTCAATCCTTGACATAGTTCTTCAATGTTCATCTTTCATCCGCTCCTATCGGCTCCAAGAATCACCTTATCGGCTCATAAAATGAAATCGGTTTTTGATGCCCACCCCCCCATCGCCACGCGATCGCCACGCGATCCCTGGCACCTGGCATCGCCAGCGTCCCGAAGCCACGCCAGGATCTGGCCACAGACTCCCAGGACGAAGTCCTTGAATCCGGAGTGATGCGATCCAGCAGAAGCCAAGCTAAACCTACTGAAACTGCTGCCACACTGAAAGCAATGTATACATGTAAAGTGATTCTAGATTCAGATTCAGTGTGAGTTGAGGACTTCTGTAAGTTTCCAGTAAATTGTAAAACCACTTTTCACAGCTCAACAAACCGTCCAAGTTCAGCAGCCAGCGGCTGTCGGTTCTGAACTCTGGATGGCCCATTCTGTGCTCCGTCGAGGGCGTTTTCCGGTGCACAGATCGCCATGAAGGTGGTGGCACCCATGGGGACGTGAAGATCCTGGGCGACAGGAGTGCGATGTCAGTCGAAAAGGGATGACACGTCTGGTGCCTGGTCAGTGAAACTTCCAGACGACTTGGAAGTTGCGAAAATGTGATCTGGTGTGATCTAGTGTCAAATTGGTCTCAAACAGATCAAGCAAAACACAAGTCAAGCTGGTGGACGAACCCCCTTATTGTCCAAGAACTCCCTTTTTGTGTCCGCCTTGACCGCGACAAAGAGGTCCAAGAACCTGTTTTTATTCTTAATGTCTTAATGGCATATAGAATCACTTCCTGAAGCCTGGCCATGAAACATCAGTAAACATCAACGCTAACGCTGTCTTCTGGACAATCCCTTTAACGCCCTTTTCGTGGAAAACGTGTTTGCGAGTGGAGCAGATCAACCCATCGACGCCGCGGCACCAACCCGCTACACTACACTCAACCGTTTCGCGGCTTTTTGCAGGTCTGCCAGGTGGCTCCACACTGTTTCACGACGCGCATGAAAGTGATCCTAGGTGGTGTGGCGGTGATCCTTGGGCCCCCCAGGGCCTTGAAACTGGAAGTGTTGCCCAGCTCTCTTGTGCTGGTGTTGCCCAGCTCTCTGACTGAAGCGAGCACCCCCCAGGAGTGGATGAATCTGTAAACAAGCGGATTCGCGGATCTGAGAAATAGCAACAACTTGGAGATGAATGCAGCTTATAAACATATTGTAATAAACGACTATAATTTATAAACGTATACTTATAAACAGAATGACACATCCGCTCATCCAATTCCACCAAGGGGCGATTGATTGAGCTCGGCCAGTGCCCGCAACTGTCCAGGGGCAGGGTAATGGCCTCCAGGTCGTTTAAAAAGACGCTGTGGGTCCTCACAACACTGAGAGTCGTGCATCGAATCTGATAGAAGGGTCAGGGATGGATGGCTTGCGGATGTTGAAGGCTTCAAAAAAGCACTTCTGGTGGCAAGTACGTATATGCATGCTGCATGCACGACAAGCACATCATTGTCCAAAAAAAAAGGATATCTAAGGCAAGCATGGGACACCGTCTCAGATAACACAGTCTCTTCCCATCTTCGGACCTTCAAGGCCAGGGGGTTGGGGCCGTTTTAGCTCGAATGTCCTGAATCTCAGCTCGGACTTCTTCGGCCGTCAAAGAGACATAATCCAAGAGCAGCACCTCCACTCGATATTGGCCTCCGAATCTGAAGAGATGGAACGGGGCAAAACATGGCAACACATCGGGTTCTTCTTCCTCCAGACCATTCAAAACCCAGGAAAAAATGGTAGAATGGTACAGGAACATAGGATAACTGGATAACTGTAAAACCTAAGAATTGTGACGCTCACTCAGCCACAGCCATATAATTGGTAAATTGGTGGAAAATCGGGCTTCTTCCGATTTCAAACCTTGCGTGCTTGTTATATATTGTAACTAGGGGTAATCAGATCAAAATCCGGATGAGTGGCCACGCCCCCACGCGCCACGCCCTCCCAAAGGACCCAGGCGCCGTACATGCCGTGTCCGTAGTCGCCCGCATAGAGTCCGGGCCGCAGGCGTGGGACCGTGGGGTCCGCCGGCATGAACCTGCGGGGGAGCAGCGGCCGTTGGGCGCCGAGGCCGTTGGCGCCGCGTTTTGGAAGGCGAGATCCGGTGTAGCACATCCCGAACGGTACGACCAATACGGAGTGGTGAGTGGTGAGTTTATGCTGGTGAGTTTAAGCCAATCCAGGCCGTTCGACCTATGATATGCAGGAAAATCTAGTGCTCACTGGAAGATGTTTTGACATGTTTCACCAATCCTAACAGGGCCAATCAGGCTTTGGTCCTTATCCTGTCACCCAGGCTTTGGTCCTTATCCTGTCACCTATCCTAATGCGCAATGGTCATAATATATGGGGAAAAAATGGCCCACATCATGCATCTTTTCACACACTCGTCAGGGCCAAGTGACTCGTCAGGGCTTCGAATCAAGGCGAGGTCACAAAACCGAGGCCTGGCGAGGTGCAGGACTCGCTGCTGTCAGTCGACTCACCACATCAAACGAAGCGAATGCTTCGCAAACTTCATGCACATCGCATCCCTTCTTCTCTGCCTGCTGAGAAGCTCCCGCAGCATCGCATCAGTTCGCTGCTTCAACTCGCCCTCCAAGCCCAATCGCCCAGGAGCCCAACTCTTACCTGGCCGTCTGCCATTTTGGGATGAACAAATGCTGAGCGAGCGCGAGAGCGTTCGGCCCTGATGCTCAGCAAACCCACACAAATGTGTTGGCTGCGTCACAGTCAAATACGAACGCTTCTTTGGGGTCACTTGAATCCACGTTGATTCGTTTACCAAGCCGCTCAAAGTGGAGGATTCATCAACTTCCGGAATCTCCTGACATTGTTTGAAGAGTCCTCACTGCTTGATGCTCAATATTAGGACACGCTCTCAACGTCGAGTCCTCGCTCTCATCCAGGTAATCTTGAAGGCCATAAGGATAGCCAAGAACACCTGAGCACACGGTGTGACGAGAAAAAAGGACTCTCTCTCTCTCTCTCTTCCCTGTTCGAGGGCGAAGGAGTTCGAGGAGTCTCGGAGTCCTTCCTTCTTCCCACCGGCCTGCTGCTGTAGCTGGTTTCTTGTCCACCATCTTTTCAGAGTTGTCACCAGCCTCGCAGACAGTTTGATAGGGTAGCCAAGAATGATTGCGGCAAGTGACCGGTCCAAACCATGGTCTTCAGGGCTTCACGGTTTCACGTGACCAGCTGGCTCACCAACAAAAAAGAAACGTCCTGATTTCGAAACATCCTGACCCGTCCCCTGCTGCGTCACAACGCGACCTCCAGTCTGAAGGCGCGTCGTGCTTGAAAGAGTCCAAGCTCGCCAATGTTTTGGCTCGAGAAGAAATGACTCTCCTGGACAGGTCGGGGGTCTCGACTCCAGACCACGAAGGAAGGTCTCGGGACCGAGAAGGTCTCGGTCGGCGCGCGTTTTCCTCTGGCGGACCCACGACTTCTGTGATTGGGCAAAGGGATTTCACGAGAATGGCAAGTCTACCGTAGGATAGATTGTATATTCGATTGGTGGACATCTCATGCCCACACCTCTTGCGCCAGGCCGACAGAATCCAATACTATCAATGTTGCAGGCGTCCGGCCCGGCTCGTTGACAAAGCTGTAAGTAGGACATAGGTGAACCACGAAACCAAACAACTAAACAGACTAAACATATCCCAACCCCAAACAAGGTGGAGGGGTTGTTGGAGGTGGTCTGTGGTCATCTGTGGTCCAGTCAAGGGTCGTGGGCTGCAGAAAATCTGACATGGCTGGGGGGTGGGCACAGGTGAAGGGACCGGTCTTGGTGCCACAAGTTCAGTCAATGTTCATACAATATTGATCATATGTTTATATATATATATATCAAGATGCACGGACTGCTTCTTTTGTCCACTTCGCAGCGATTTTGTCAGTAAAAAGAGATAAAGGAAACACAGCAGACCGAACACACTGAAACCCTAGATCACCATCTATGGGAAGGAACGTTCCGAATCACCCGGCCACACCCTGAGTGAACGGAAACTTCCTAGTCACTCCACCTTCGAACGAGCCACACCTCCGAGTTACCCGGTGGTAGCGACTTTCAGGTGTCCGGTCAGCCCCACCAACTCCTCATTTTTTCCTGGCTTTCATGGACTTCTTCTTGCCCGGCCCCCTGCCCTTCCGCCTTTGGGCGGAGGCTCAAGTGTGGAGACTTTAGGGCTCTTGAGGAAATTCTGGTAAACTGTCAAAACTTGGAGGCCCTTGAGGAGTGGATCAGAGTCGTCGGAGTCGGAGGAAGAAGAGTGGTCAAGGGTGGAAGACACCTTGGTGGCGGATTCTGGCAGCGCCAGCGATGAGCTGCTGACGAAAGGTCAGCGAAGAAGACTTCTGGCAGCGACCAAAGAGATTTCTGAGGCAGCAAGCCGAGACATTGCTGCACGTCAGTGCTTGATGGCTAACCAGACCAAGATTCCACAACCACCAAGAAGACGACGTTGGCGGATCCTGGAGATCTTTACTTGGTCATGCATGGTCAGCCAGATTGCATTCAGCCGAGGATGGACCTTTTTGGAGCCAGTGACGTTGCCTGGCTGGGACATCAGGAGTCCGGCTGTGCAGGAAGAAGCTATGCGGTATATCCAGCAGGCAGAGCCTGATCTACTGGTGGTGGCCTGGCCGTGCGGGCCGTGGACTCAGCTACAGTACCTCAACCAGAAGACACCGCAGCAGAAAGCGGCGCTGCATGCAAAGCAGCTAGAGTCCCGCAAAGTCTTCCTGCAGTTCACAAGACGTGCAATACTCTGGCAGCGCCGGAGGCACAAAGCAGTATTGGGTGAGAACCCCTTCAACAGCCGTGCATGGCAGACACCGGAGATTCTGGATGCATTTCATGGCTGCTCTGAGGCAGTCGCTGACCAATGCCAGTATGGCTTGAAGCATCCAGTAGAAGGTGCACCTATGAGAAAGCGCACCCGTTTTCAAGGACAAGAAGATATCTCCAGAAAAGGTGCGACCACAGCCATGAGCACTGGCCTATAGAAGGGAAGTTCAAAGGAGCTGATGGCAAGTGGCGCTCACTGAGTGAATGGGCAGGAGGATACCCTGTTCCTCTGTGCCATGCCATCATTGATGGCGCCGAGGATTTTCTTCGAGCTCGTGCAGCGCACCAAGGCACTTTCGTTGAAGACGATGGTGATGAGGGAGCTATGTCAGATGGTGATCTCCAGGCAGGAGAAGAGGCCATTGAAGAAGAAGAGAAGATGACAGGGCTCCTAAAAGAAGAGGATGAGGAGCCGGAGGAGGGGCAGCGCCATCCGGTTCCCATGGAGGTGCGGAAGGCCGTGGAATTTGCCCATCGACAATTGGGACACCCTTCCAGGAGCACCTTGGTGAGGATGTTGAAGATGAGTGGAGCAACAGAAGATGCCCAACGGTGGGCGAGAAGATGGACATGTGATGTCTGCGCCCAGCGGGCGGCTCCACGACACCCTCAAGCGGCTGCGCCGAGTGTGAGGCCTTATGGGTTCAATCACCACGTGCACTTGGACCTCAAGTACGTGTACGATTGCCGCAAGAAAAAGTACACATGTTTGTCAATGCTGGACTTGGGGACGGTCAAGCATGATGCGGTGATGGTCAAGTCCAAGCAGAGCACTTACATCGCCAAGAAATTCTTCCGACACTGGATCTCCTTGTACGGAGTCCCGGGAAAGGTCACGACAGACCAAGGAGGAGAATTCGAGCGGACCTTCACCCTTTACTTGGAGCAGCTTAGCATCCCGAGTGAGGTGACCGCTGCTCATGCCGGATGGCAGCTGGCAGCTGGAGAGAGGCATGGAGGCCTCCTTGGAGATATGCTCGATGCCGTGGTGCAGGAACACAGTCTGCAAGGCTATAAGGGCCTCAAAGAAGGACTGGCTGCGACAGTAGCCGCCAAGAATGGCACGCTCACAAAGGATGGCTACACGCCAAACCAACGAGTGTTTGGGTATGAGACCGATGAGGACCCCAAGATGTCCTTTGCAGAGGGCGTCTCTGTAGACAGTGAGGTGTCCCGAGCGCATAAGATGCGGACAACTGCACGTATTGCCCTCTTGAGGAATGATGTACGAGAGAAGGTGCGGAGAGCCGTTTTGCGGAAGCCGGCTGTTTCCCACTCTGGACCTTTCATTCCTGGTGCACAAGTCTATTTTTGGACACCTAGCACACAAAAGGGGGTGCGCTACAAGAAGGGTGGCGCATGGCGCGGCCCAGCCACTGTCCTCGTCAGGGAGAAGCCCAAGAAGTATTTTGTCTCTTGGCGTGGACGGCTTCTGTTGCTGGCGGAAGAGAACATGAGGCTAGCAACGAGAGAAGAGCTGGCGCTGACGGAGCCTGTTCATGAAGAAATGGATGGTGTCGGTGATATGCTCAGGGATGGAGGCCGACAGAATGTGTACAAGGAGCTACGACCACAGCCTCCTCCACCACGCAAGAGACCCAGACGGGCGGCAGTAGATGCATCGACAAGACCGCCTGAGCCAGAAGAGAGCAAGCGAGCACGTTTGATGATGAGAGGCTCAAGGACGGTGAGGAACCTTTTGAAGGATCAGGTTCAGCGAGCCGCCCAGATGCTTCGGAGGAGGAGAGCGTTGGCAGATGCTCGCATGCCGGCAGCGCCGAGCCCGAAGCGAAGAAGGGCGTTACCAAGTCCACCTGCTGGTGGCGATCAGATGCCCCTGGCGGCGCCAGAACAAGTACGCCCGGCTGCGCCGCTGGCTTTGCCACCTCCTGCACGGGAGGTGAGACCAGAGGATGTCCCTGTGCCAATGGATGAATTTGATGATGAGCCCAATCGAGAAGAAGCAGTGGCACCAAGGGACGAGGATTTTCAGCAGCTGCTAAGACAGCAAACCACGGAGGAGAGGCAGCGCCATCTCCTGGATGATCTACCAATTTCCATTCGGAAGCGGCTGCATGAAGATGATGATGATACGGGGGTTGCACCACCGAACAAGAGAGCCAGAGTGTCTCAAGACCTGGTGACTCAGGTGATGCTGAGCACGCTGGTCACCGAAGAAGAAGAGAAGGCAAATGAGTGGGTTTCCCGCTATGAGCTCTCGCTGCTGCGGGAACTCACAGGGCTCCCCATCACGGCAGCCCGGTTGCACCGGCAGCCCCGCAAGCGGCTAGCGCGGCCGCCTAAGATGGCCAGCAGAGCGCGGCTCAGCATTTTGCTGGGGAAGGATCCGCGAAATGCTTTTGTGGTTGAAGAAAACAAGGCGGGGTTCGCCTGGAAGGGGATCACAATGTACTACAAGGAAGCCCCGAAGAAGAAGGGGGGAGAGAAAGTCCGAAGCTATGTGGAGAAAGATGGGGAGATCTAGGAGGTGTGCTGGAGTTCACGCCAACGGAAGCTTTTCGAACGAGAATGGCTGGCTGAGATGAAGGATGTGTTGATGAGCGAGGTGATGTTGCTTCGCATGAAAGCCAGTGGAAAAGAGCTGGACCCGAGATTCTTCAGCGAGGAGGAACGGTCCAAGTTCGCAGAGGCGGACAAGAAAGAGTGGGCTCAGTGGATACAGAATGGAGTGATCAAAAGACTGAGCCCCGACGAGCAGAGAAAAGTGCCTCGAGAGGCGGTGTTCAAAAGCCCCATGCGGATGGTGCGGGTGAACAAGCAGCAGAAGATGTTGCTTCCTCTTCTGGCCAAAAGCAGGCTGGTGATCCTGGGTCATCGGGACCCGCATCTGGGCCTTTTCCGGACGGACGCGCCCACGACCAGCCTGGTCTCTGTGAGGATGGCAAAGGCCATCAGCCAATTCAGATCATGGATCTGTTGGAGCTTCGGTGTTACGACGGCATTTTTGTCGGGCCTGGAGACAGATCGTCAGATCTACGTGAAGGCCCCGGCTGAGGGCTTGCCAGCCGCTGAGGGCTGGAGTGCCATCTTGCCCTTTGAGCTCTTGCGCATTCTCAAGAGTGCATATGGCCTGACGGAAGCTCCGAGGCTTTGGTACCTTCGGGCGGTGCAGCTGATTAGCCAGACGCCGCTAAAGGAGCTCCCGATTGCCAAGGCCACATTTGCGGCCAGTGAAGGCGGCATCAGCTGGGCGATCTTGTGCCTCCACGTCGACGATGGACTCCTTCTGGGAAATCCAAATGACAGTCGATTTGTCAAGTTGAAGGCACAGCTGAACAAGCTCTTCAAGATCAAGGAGTGGAAGGAGACTCCCTTGACCTTTTTGGGAGTAGATCTGGAGAAGGCTGAGAAAGGGGGCCTCTGCGACAACATGGGAGCCTACATTCGGAACATCAAGGTCCCTGAGATGCAGAAGAAGAAGCCGGATGAACCTTTGGACACGCAGGGCGTGACACAATACCGCCAATTGACTATGCGACTTCGATGGCCGGCTCAGTTGGCAATGCCTCACAAGCTGTATGAGATCAGCTCCTTGGCTCAGAGAGTCAACCAGGCCACCTACAAGGACTCTCAGGAAGCTGTGAAGCTACACCAGAACTTCCTGGAAGAAGAGAAAGCTGGCAGAGCCAAGCTGCGCTATCCCACTAATCGTGGGAGGCCGTACGTTTTGAGCTTCTTCGACGCCTCCTTGGGAAAGGAGACCGATGGTCGGTCCCAGCTGGGATCGATACACTTCCTCACGACAGATGGAGTGAAGGAAGGGCCACAGCTGGCAGCCCCGCTGGAATTCCACACCTCCCGAAGCACCAGGGTGGTGAGAAGCTCAATGGCGGCAGAGAGCAACAGCATGTCCCTGGCAGTGGACAAGCACCTCTATTTGAGGGCGCTACTGGACATGTTGTGGTTTGGTGATACCACCTCACCCTCAGCGGACTGGAGGTCCAAGCTTCGCCATGAAGGCGGCCTGGTCACACACGCCAAGAGTCTTTACGACCATGTCCACACGACAGGCCACGTACCAAGTGAGAGGCAGACTATGCTTGACCTCCTCGTGGCCAAGGACATGTTGGAACAAAAGGCATACCAACTGTTCTGGGTTCCGACCCGTCAGCAGCAGGCAGATGTGCTCACGAAGCGCATGAAGGGGACGCTTTGGGAGAGCTTCTGCCAGAACCATCGCCTGTCACTAAAGCAGACTGACGCAGAAAGGCGATTGGAGGAGCATAGGCAGCGCCTTCGCAAAGACCAACGGCAGCGCCGGAAGGTCAAGTTTGGCCGAGCCAAAGCTGGCAGCGCCGGCCGTTAATTCGACCACATGTCAACACTCTTTTCTAGGGATGTGAGAAATGGTGGTCGGTGCACGTTTTTGCCATGTGGTGGCTTTGACTTGAGACCGCTGACGCATCCGCAGTCAGCGCTGGCTCGCATGTTAGAAAACATTTGCTTCGGCCGCGACCGCTTGTTTTGGTAGCTTTGTTTTTACTTCGCACTCCGCAATGAAAGCGATGACCTTCGATAACTCTTTCGCGGAAAAAAAAAGGATACTTTCGCGAACCTCATCGCGAATCTTTCGCCGATGGTTCTAACGCATCTGAAAGGCTGTTTTATATAAAACTCCTTACACGGGGTTTCGATCAACTCCCAATATATATTCTATTCATATTCTATGTCTATATATTTTTAATATGTTCATGTACAACTGACATTGATTTTCACCATGTTGGCATGAATACATTATAAAATATTGTATAATTACATATGATTTCGTGATTTACCACTGATGTTCTTACCAAAGACCACACCTTGCATCGTCTCAACAGGCAAACGAAGGCTCAAAAAGGCTCTATGATGTCCTTGCATGAACGCGACGCGAAGCGACGCGATGGCGTCCTGGGTTGAAGCCACCAGTTGTGACGATTCAATCGGCGCGATGGTTGCCATAGAGTCGAACTGCAGCCATGGAGCTTGAATGACGCTCCTGGCGGCCAAGGCTGCAGGGGACGGCCCAGAAACCATGTTGTGCTTTGAACTGTAGACTGTGAATGCTCTATGCAACTAAGTATTTGGAATTCAGCTCTACTACTCCATTGGCAAGAAAATGCTCAGACTTCACATTTGGGCTTAAAACATCCAAAGGCCTATCTGGGACGAACGAGATCGAGTTCCGAGCCTACCCAAACCCTTGAGATCCGCATTTGGCACCAAAAAATAAGGGAACTTCACTCTTGGAATTCAGTACCCTCTACTTCCTTCTGCCTCAGAAAAAAAAGAGGTCTTCGACCAATTTGTACAAAGACTGCCATTAACGCAAGCGCCAAAGCGCCACTGTGACCGCAAAAACCGCAAACGCACGCTCCCACCTGATGTTGCCACGTTCTTCGCTCACGCTGACCTGGAGCTTGGGAGAACAAGAGAGCGCCCTGCAGCTTCGTCCTCAAACAATTGCCTGAAGTTAGAAGATTTAGAAGGCAAAGTGTAGATTTTTCCGGTCGTATTGGTGAGAATGGCTCATCCATTCCGTCGCAAGTCAAACAGAGGAAACAAGTCACTTTTGGTCGAAAACAAGTTTAAAAATGCCCCGGAGGAATGCATGGCGGCCTTCTTTCTCTTCAACTTGCCCCATCATGATCCATCGATCCATCACTTGGTCGCGTGAAGAGAGCGTGGTTTGGCTCATGAGTGAAGTTGTGCTCAAAGGCATAAGTAAAGTCGAACCCACAATGCCCTTGTTAGAGAAACCAGTTGCAGAAATGGTTCACAGGATGTTTTTTTTGACGCTTTATGATACACACCATGTTCAAAACTTGGTAATTAAAAAAAAGTAAAACCATGTAAAACATATCAAAACATATCAAAACATTAATCTTAGAGTCATATAATAAGTCAGTCTCCAGCCTCAAAACCCGGGCTCAGTCAGAGTCTATCATCTCCCGCAGCCCACCTGGAAAAACGGGACCTGTATCTCAGTGATACTCTCCCCTTGTGGAAGAAAGCGCACCATCCGAGCGCAAAGCTGGCCCTGCTCGATGCCTGGGTTAGCAGCTGCAAATGTTGTGAAACCAAACTGAGTTTGTTTTTTGATGTTGTGAAACCAAACCTCCGCTAAAATTGGTAGTGACATGCTCTCGGCCTGGCAAGATCTGGGATTTGCATGATCTCTGAATTAGAAGTCTCTCCTCTGGTCACAGTCTCTTTTCCGACGGACGTCATGGGCGAGTGACTAAGTAAGGCCAACAAGCCCCAAGGGAACGCGTTGGTCAGAACATAGAAGCCTCGCGCAACAAACCAATCCAATTTCTTGCAGAGAGTCTTTATCTGGGCCAAGACATGTCAAAGCGCCATCATGGCATCCATAGTACTGTGGAGTTCCTTCGACATACTTCTCACTGGAGTCAAAGTGTGTTGGTCCAACGAAGAAGTGAGAAAACTCTTGTGAGAACAGGACATTGCCGCTCCTGACGGCCGGCGCAATTGACGCAAGTCGTTGACGTGTTAACAGGGCACTGCTCACAACCCGACCTTCCATCGGCATCCACTGCTCCAGTGCTCGGTAAAGACCTGGTGACCCGCAGGGTTTCAGTCGGTTCCCATTCTCATACAACAGACACGAAGAACTGTTCACACTCGGCCAAAAGAGGTGAAAATAACAAGTTCATCCTTCCAGGCAGGAAAGCAGGATACACAAAAACATATATATATATATACATATACATATAGATCAACACCACAATAGATCAACATCAAGAGACGATTGAAGAACCCACTGTTCTTGGGCAAAGCAAGGCACAAACCATGAATTCCCAGCCTTTCGCAGAGAGCACAGGCCAATCTTTGAGCCGTGCGTCGCTGGAATGCCAGTACCTGCGCTGATGGCGGCCCCATCAGCGGGTCAGCTGTGAAGAACATCTGAGATGCCAAAGGGTCGGCAAAAATTACCATGTGTTTCTTTGAATCAAACTGTGGTCGAAGAAAACCTTTTCCATCCTTTTCTATCGCAGGGCGCCGTGTGAGTTGAACACGTGGGGTTGCAAAAGAAAGCCCATGCACTTTGCTATTACCAAGACAGCGTTATCGTTTTTTCCCTGTTCTGTTTATCGCTTCTCACCGGATTGGGGTCTGCAAAACATCCATTATACAGGGTTCCTCTCGAAGCTGCATGGATTCGCATCTTCTTTCAGTCTCCACTGTCTGAAGAGGTTGTGCCGCTGCTCGAAGAGCTCGTGGATTCGTGCCCTTCGCCTTGCAATGTGGCCAACTTGCGCTGCAAGCGCTTTTTGTCATTCGCTGCCTCCCGCGCCTGTCTCTCCACTTTCTCACCAAAAGACTTGATCGGTTTGCTTCCCAGTGACTGCGCGAAGATGCTTCTGTGACTCGTCTTTTTGCACCTGGGCTGTGTCTCCTGGATCTGGTGGCTTCATCTCCGAACAAGGCCTCCAATCCCCTCCATGAAATCCGAACAACCAGGTCGTCTGATGTCTCGTTGTTGATCTGATAGGCACAGCTGCCATCATTGGTGACATCTGAGAAGACCTTGTTATAGAGAACTGGTCTGCTTTGAGCTGCAGGCTGTCAGATGACAAATGCATCTTGATCTGGAAGGCTCCTGATCTGTGTCGTTGTGCAGCAAAGGAGAAACTAGGAGAACCTTGACTTCCATCATGCCAGTGGATGGATGCACAAGCCTGAATCACCTTCCACCAACCTCGTACCAATCTCCCTATCCCTATCCTTAGGGCCTCCCTAGAACACAAAACGTTTGATGTCATCTATCATCTATCGTTATCGCTTTCTTTCCTCTTATCCTTTCCTGGGCCTTTTGCTCAATGTAGGTACGTTGGGAGCTGCTCCTACTAAGCTGCTTACTGGGCGATTATACAACCTCATAATGTGGCGAAACACCTTTCACCAACCAAACACCAAACAGCTGCGCACTTCTGGCAAAGGTGTTGCCAAGCACTCTCTTCATTGAGAGTGCCGTTCACCTTTTGGCAAAGAGCACCTGGTAGCGCACGCGCACGCGCAGGAGTCGAACGCCGTCCATCGGTCCGTTCACTATGCCTCGGTCGTCTTAGTTCCCGACCGAAGGAGGTTAAGCCTTGAGACTCGTGGGTGATGTAGGACAGGATCTCAACCAGCAGATCCGCGGCCAGGTGCTGCAACCTTGGAGGCCAATCGCTCGATCACCTGGAGGTTCCAAACCCATGTAGTCAGGCCTCTGCTCCTACATGTTTTGATAACTACTACCTCATGACACACATGAGGTTCAAATCAAGTCTAAGTTGGAATTCCCCCCGTTGCCACTTTGGAGATACTGGAAAGTCCACCATCACGTTTGGTCCATGTCTTCTTCATTATTTCCAGCTACGAGATGCTACGAGTATATTACCAAGGGCGCCCACCATCTATCCAGTCTCACCAATAAATCTCGAGTAGCCGTGCACCCAACTGACATACTCCGGAAAGTTCCCCGGCCGCGATGTCACTTGAGCTACCTTGTCCTGCAAATAAGCAGTAGAGGAATATATGGCCTTGTCCACCGAGAAGTTCGCGGGCCCAGCCCCAATAGACCCAATCCTAAAAGGCCCCAGCATGCTCAGCCCCATCTGCATCTGCACCAACATTCGTCATAATCACAGTTGTCATGATCTACCAAGCCCACAAGCACTCAAGCTTCACATGCCCCGACTCCACGCGAGTCGCTAAGCTTCTCCAAGTGGCATAGCAGCTGGCAGGCCGAAAATTGGTGGAATGAATGGAAATGGAACGTTCTCAAGCCTAACGCATGACTCAGTTTTGGTTCATGGACCGGTATTCCATATATCCATGTGCCGCAATGTTTAGGCTCAGCTGTCAAGGGCCCAAAGGCACCGTTTAGACACGTAGACTCGACGTAGACCGGTCTCTCCGGGAACCGGTTCAGAACTCGTAGAAACCCTGAGGTTTTCCAGAACATTGGCGGCTCGGGGGGGGGGCTCCATATGGCTTGATGCCTAAGCATGCCTAAGCCTAAGTTATATTTCGTTCTTTCTCCTCATCCCATTCTTCCCATGCATTCCGCCTCCAAAAACATGACTTTGTCATGATGTACTCATGAGTCATGAGGCATGACTGGGGCCAAGATGTTGCGGATGAACCGATCTCAAACACTCTGTAACTCAGCTTGCATCTCATCTCCGATATGACTTCGTGGCGAAAGTACGTGCAGTGAGAGGGACTACCCTCTCACCGAACTTCTCCTCTAAGCCTTCTCTGAATCGCAAGCGGGCTGGGCGCCGAACAGCAATCATGTTCAAGTAGAAAAGCAGAATCAAACCGGCCCCAAAGAGTGGAGTAATGTCATACCTCTGCCGTGTTCGCAGCGCAGCGCGGAGCTCGCTCTTCGCGAACCAGCTTCCGAGTTCGCAGCGCTCGCTCTCCACTTCGATCCACCCAGAGCTTCGAAGCTCGGAAAGGAGCCCCCCCCCGACCGCAAACCAGGGAACCTCGATTGTGTGTGAACATAGAGAGAGAGAGAGAGAGTCCCACCACTTGGTGGGTGGGTCCGAACACCCCTTCCCATCGCGTCCGTCACGTGCGATGCTGCTCGATGTTGCTCCATGCTGCCGATCGATATCCTCATGAAACACGGCACCGCTGTGTAGGCGCACACGGGCATCAGCTGCACATCCTTTAGGAAGGCCCTACACCTTGGAATCTCCATGATTCCAGTGAACACCCACAGTGAATCCACAGTGAATGTACTATACTATGCCCTGCGGACAAATCAGACTCTTCAAGAACTGCTCAAAGTTCCCCTCCGATCTCCAAGTGGGTATCCCAAAATGGATATCCACATGTCCTATGCCTTGCAAGAAGTCGAATTGTCGAAGTTCTTCCAACCACTCGGTGCTCCACAAATACACCGCCGAGGTTGAGAAATTGGAGAGCTCGGCCACTTTGTCCCCAAAGCCTGTTGACCGTGAGGATGTGATAGAGAAACGATGACAAACGTACTTCTTCATGAGGAATATTTCTTCGTGAGAAAGGCTAAAAGAAGGCGGACCCTGGGCTGGCATGAGCAAGAAACCAAACGCCAGAAAGATGTCCCAGGCTCCCGAAAGCTGCCTACGTTGAATGCCATCACGAAGCCCACCATGCCCACGCAAAACATGATGAGAAACGGCAAGAACCTCAGTGATTGACTAATCTAGCTGAAATCAACTGTTTTCGGTAGGAATTGTCAGAGTTGGAGTGATTTGTTTGATCTAGCTTCCAAAGCTTTTCAGCATGAACATGGAGGGAACTTATACAATCGACGTCGATGTCGTCCATGTTGCTTTCAAGACTATGCCACCACCCACACTCAGGATAACTGAGAGCTTGACAAGTCAAAAGCATCCCACACGGTGCGGATCAAGCCCTGCATTCTCCGGTGAGATCGTTGGTCTCATTCGCGAGACTGAGCTTGCTGTCACTATACTCATACAAAATTACTTGCTTCTGCTGTCACTACCAATGAACCATTGGTAGACAGGACAAAAAAAGGCCAGGCGGCCAGAACATTGGCGTCCGGCGTCCGAATCCCAAGTATCTCAGGGTCATTGTTGTTTGTTTGGACCAGAAAGAATATGAGTCGAATGAGGAAACAAAATCCGTTTGCCAAACGACACACCGAGGATCGTCCAAGCTTGCTGGCGCAACCCCGCCTTCACTAGAGGCAAGTGCCGCAAATACTTCGTGACCTTGCCCCAAAGTAAAACCTGACAAAGCAGGCAAAACTGGAATAAACTGGGATATACTGGGATAAGTATAGCAGGATTCAAGGGAAACACCTTCCGATTTTGACTTCTTCGAAATGTTTCTTGCTTTTTTACAGAGATGAGCTACCGAATCTGAGCTGGTTTGAGCAGCTCCAGACATCGGCTAGGTCTCATGCGCAATTGAAGGCGTTGAGGACACGAACCTTAAAGTCTTCAGCTAGTTCACTAGTCGTGTCAGGAGTGGCCAAGCACGTGAACAGTGACCTTCTGGATATATATAATATAATATAATATATATATATATATGAAGGCTGATTTGTTGCCCTTAGGTGTCATCCTTTCCAAGCGACAGCAGAGTTGAAATTCGTTCAGGGGTATTTCTGTTGCAATATCCTCTTACCAGAACAAAGCGCATTTTCAGATGTGAGTGCCACGGTTCTCACATCTTGCACTGGCTTCAGATTCAAGCTCCAAACCGTGGTCGCGGCCGCAGCTAAGGCTGATATATTCTGAAAAGATTCCTGGCGATTCGGCCAAAAAGGAGAATCTTAATAAGAAGCTACTGGGAGCAAAGGGCATCGCTACTAGGAGCAAGGACGCTACTTACTAGGAGCGCCTGTCCATACTACTAGAAGCAATGTTCGCTACTAGGAGCTTGGTGCAAATGTCTCGAGCTGCACCCCTCACGACTCTTGAGACTGGACGTCTCCTATGGACCTATGCCATCCTATGCCTGTGCTTGAGGGATTGTGGCGCATCTGGTTCGCTGTACCACCAACCAAAAAGCCTTATTGGACAGCTGCTCGATGCCGACATTCGCATTGGCAGCCTGGCAAAAGAAGAGCAACCAAATGCCGACTTGAGACCATGCACGTTTCGGAAACGCAGCGGTCTCAGCGGTCAGACCATGCACAAACAAGACCACACATCGGAGGAGGCTCCCACTTCAATCATGTCCATCCGGAGATCATCCAACGTGTGTCCAGACTGCATCGATTCGGCACAGATCGAACTCAACTGCTTGGTCATCGCCGAGCGCACGTCCGAGAAGAGGAGCATGCGCATGGTGAAGCCCACGAGAAGCAAGATCATGTTGGCCTAAAAAAGCACTTGACGTGGTGGCACAGAAAAGTCAGCCACTGGCTTGTTGCTGAGTCTAGTAGAACTGAGAAATACAATGAACTGACATGAAATACATACAGTCGGTGCAGTAACATGTTTTCTGCAAGCATTGAGGGTCAAACCCAATCTAACAGGTTCCAAGCATCCTGAGCTCAAGGTACACTTACACCTCTCTGCTCTGGACACACATTCAGGCCTTGATGTACCGTGACCACCCCATGCCACAATCCGGTCTTTTGCATATACTACTAGTCACTAGTCTAGGACCCTAAGATGCTCACAAAGAAGTAGGTTCGCCAGCTTTGATAAAGCTCCTGCACCTCCTGAAAGCGATGCAAAGCTTCAAGAGGCATCTGCGAATACTCCATCTGCGCGCGTAGCATCCACCACGAGTCGTTGTTCTTGTACTCCGGATATTTTTTGGTCTCATCTTGCAGTTGTGTTTTTTTTGGTTGCAAAGGTACAAAGCCATGAAAGCAGCCTTTGAAGCTGTAGCATCTCCTCGATGATGAATTGGACCACAAAGACCATCACCAAAATGAGCAGCACAAATGCAAACCTCCGCAGTGGTCCGCAGTGTTTCTTAGCACTTGCAGTGGTCTGCATGGTCTGAGGACCGTGCCAGTCCATACCAGTTCCCAAGCCACCCACGGTCTCGGTGAAAGAATTTGACGATGATTCATGATATGATTCAGGATGGGTACCTTGCTTTAGAGATGCTATGGCACGTCCAAGCAAAAGACTTGGTTTGGAGGTTCAAAACGGCCAACACATATATACACAAAATTGCACAAACACCTCAAGCAACTGGGTCAGACCCTCGCTCCAAAACGCGGCATCTAAGGCTCCAACGAGCACGCGCTCGGTCATGGTCGTAATTTCAATCTGCGGACAGCTTGGAACACTTGGAACACAAATGAATGAGTATAAAGGGGACCAGGCATCGCTACTTGTTACTATTTACTAGTAGTGATGCCCTGTTACTAGTAGCAATGCCCCTGCCCGTTGCATCTGTTCATTAGATGCTCATTGACAATGGCAGGCACTCGCATAGCTTCGCCGGCGGTCGCTGACACCCCTTTCAATTCGAGACATCACTCGATCGGTCCTCTTGAGCAGTGCCACCACTCGCTCCGAACTCGACGACAAAGTTCACCACTGCGTACCTCGATCTCACGGTACCAGCGCCGGCAACCGATGGCAACCAGCACGGAGGCACCACTGTGGCTCTGAAAGCGGTTCGGAAGGCAACTGGAAGTATGGAAATTGGCAGAAAAGTAAAACGCCTGTGTTCAATTGGCGAAGAAGTGAGGTTTCCAAACATTTCCAAACCGTCAGGTCATGTCACCGAAATCACTTGGTTTTTGCGCACAAGCCGACGTTGGAGTTCCAAATGTTGAACTCTGCGAAGAACGCCCGGGTGGCGGCGTCTAAGAAGCCCTGCCGAGTCATTTGGACGACGCGTGAGACACATCGATGCAAATGTGTCAGCAAGTCCATCATGCAAGTGATAAAGCTTTGGGAAACATAGAAGTTATACAAGCTAAGCATGAACCAAACCAGTAGACTGCCCTAAACGTCAATGTTCTTTTTCAACTCTCACTGTTTCCGGACCTCTTTCCAGAGACCCGGTATGCCGTCCTGTAAACCTGTGTGCCGTCCAACGGTCCAACTCAGGAACCCGGACATCAATCCGTAGCTGTTGGATCTGCTGCGAGGCTTGTGTGGCATTGGAGGGTAAGAGTTGCATGAAGCCATGCGGAGTGTACCTCGCGCGGCAGTCGCGCAGTCTGACACCGTGGCACACAGGCGCCCTTGGCACCGAGAACGCGGGCACTTGCTGGCTTGGGTGGCGTGGGCTGGTTTGGTTGTACTTGGAAGACTTCATCGTGGATGTTAGACGGTTGAGGGGATTGGGAACCTTCGATCCTGACACTGGGCGGCTGGCGCATGTGTCTTGTTGTGAGTTTTGGTGGGCAACTGAACCACCAAACCATGCAAACTCGCAAACACTCGGCAAGACAAATCAAAAAAGCATGCAAAAAACGCATGTCTTGCTCCATCAGAGCTGCTTTTTGCTCGTGATGGCAGTGTTCAGGGGCACGCTCCCAGGGAACCCTCGTAGTCAATGCCAGAGACATCTTCTGAATAGGTAAACCTGATCAAACACAAAACTCTTGGGGCCCATCTTGCAAGCGTGCACGGATGTGCTTCGAAGCCCACATGTCAACAATGCCACTGGACTTGGTGTGAACTGTGTACACTTTGTGCTACACTTCTAGGATTCTGATAGAACTTCTGTGTGAACTGGCGCTTAGGCCTGCATAACAATGCATAACTGCAAGCACCTCACTGGTTGCCCCCCACTGCTTGCCCCTGCCTCTGCTGGGGTCCGAAGGCCGTCGTGCTGCCGGTTCCTGGGACAATCACGGCCACAAGCAGTAGAAGCCGTGCATGGAAACAACTGAAACTGCAGAAAAGCTACACATGTGACGACATGTGACATATTGTGACATCAATTGAATATGGTTCCCATGCTATCTCGAAGTTACACAACCATCTGCCTGGCGCGTAGTTGGGATAGCAGGACACCTGAATTGCGGTAAAACTTATGAAGCACTCACAAGGTCATCATGAAGGTCATAGAAGGTCATCATGAAGCTGTGGGGGCGTGGCGGTGTACTGCTCGAAGAGCGGAAGGACTTGGCAGTTCTCCTGGAGGTTCACGCGCACCTGTCTCCGCTGTCATGTGAATCACACTCCATGTGAGATCGATCGAAGCAAGTGCGGACAACACAAACCAAGCCACAAGACACTGTTGTGAGACTTGCTTTCTTGCTCTTGGGACCGAAGGAGCCTTCGGACCCGGAAGCGGCCTGTTTTGGTAGAACAAAGAGGCTTTTGCGATTCGGACGATCGGTCCGAAACCTTTCAATACATTGCTATAGTTAGGTTGGAGGCGTTGGAGGCCATCGCTTCTAGGTTGGAGGCCATTCCTAAACCTTTCAATACCTCTCAATACCTTTCCATCAGGGGCACCATCACCTGGTTTCCGCGCCTGTCGCAACCGCACGGTCCCTAGCAACCGATTGGCGATGTCGATGGGTCTCAAGTGCCTCGACATCGAATTCAAGATCCACCTGTATCTGATACCCCTCAAGAAGTTTTGAACTTCATAGAGGAACTGTTCGCAATAAAAGACAAAAGCAATTTTCGGACATGCTGCTGCTGGAATCTGCCAATCGATGCAGGGGTTGATCTGAGATTTAGATGAACTGTTGTGCTCTGAATCCTCGTTGGGAGCTCTGAATCCTCGCCGAGCCACGGAGAGATACTCTCTGCAAGTTGGATATCAGTGGTGTTCTGGTAAATCGCTGGAATGAATACCTGGCTGAGAAGCGAGCCACAGAAGCCTTCGGCCACATGTCGACAGCCATGAGCCGCTCACATTCCGCCAAGGGAGGTATTGTCGCATCAACGGGTGCAACTCACAATGTATTGCACTGTATCATTTGGCACCCTTTAATGTGTATCTATTACAAATTATATAAATAGTGCTAATAGATCCTACTATTGTATTTAAGCTGTATCTGTATATTATAAATATAAATAGTAGGATGATGTAGGATGTTATCTTGTGCTAATCTTTCCATTGAAGAATCGTGCTTGCAAGCGTTAGCGTTCTGATCAACGAGTTGTCGCGCGCACTTGCGGCAGGTAGTTATTGTGGTGATACACGATTCCACAAGCCATGACTATATCAATTAACTTCAGAAATGACCTACTGTCACCAAGCGGGATTGGGTATTCCTCCTGATTTGTATACATCCCGAAAAAGGACAAGTTGCAAGCCCAACAAATCCTTCAGTTTAGGTACGGTGTTTTGCATCCCCAGTCCACGTACGACGTGGAGTGCCTCTTCGAGGTAGTCATAGAGCGTGTTCACGTCGGTAATTCTGGTGATGGGATGCACCGTCGGATTCAGCTTCTGGCGCGGTCGGCGCGGCGCGGCTGGTGCGCGGCGCGGCTTGGTGTCGCACGCGCCGCAGCATGCAACCAACGCTTGGGCACTGGTTCAGCAGAACAAAGAAATGGAAAACACATGAGACAAAAATTCAACATGTCCCCTTTCATCCCTTTGTGTAGGGATATGAGACCGTGATGCATCATCTTGATCAAAAAAAATCTCCAAACATGACATAGTGACCTCATGTGACCTCCACCCAACGTGTCTGGGCAGACCATCCGGATGTGATCACTAAGTCGCGATGTCGCCACAGACCTCGGCAAAACAAACACCCCCGGTCCTGCGGTCACCTGCGGTCACTGCCCTATTTCTGAGGTGCGAACTGATTGACCAGCATCGCCAAAGAGAAGGTCAAAAGAAAGAGGAAAAACTCGGTGATGGACCCACCTTGAATGTTGGGATGGGCGATGTTGCGTCTCTTTTTGCGTCGACTTGGACGGGTCGGATGGGTCCTGAACACGGACGGGTCTCAACTGTCCTGAGTCCCCAGCGAGATTCAACCGACGATTTCATGACCGACACGAACGACTCGGAGCGAACGACGACTCGGAGGGTTTCAGAAGCTTCACTTCGGGAGCCCGGCATAACGAGATGTTTTCACCTGTCAGAGGGCTTGTTTTTGCGACGCCATGACAGGTCGTGAATGCAGAATGCCTCATCCAGGAAGACCTCTTGTGACTTACTATGTCGATGTACTTAGAATCATCTAAGACTCTGACTCTCAAGCTGCCACTTTTGCAACATGCCCTTCAGTCAGCGATCAGCAGCATGCAACAGTTGGTGCCTCTTATTCTTTCCCTCTTCGCATTGGGTGTCTCGATGCTGCTCGTCTCATCGTCCCTGTGCGAACCATGAAGGTTTCATGATCGGTGCGTACAGCCCGCAGTCACATCCAGAAGTGGTTTGCGAAGCCTTTGGTGCGACAGTAGCACTTCGCAACCAAAGAAACATGGTAAAACGTCTCACATCACTTTCACATCTTCTTCCCCCCGGTACACATGAAAGTCACTGGCTCACAAGGCTCTCCAGGTGGCGTACGCTTCCGCCAGCTGACCGTCATAAGGCACCTGGAGTAGCGGAGCTCAGACCCTTTGTTCCACTGATGTTCTCATGGATTTGGATCATTTGCATATCATTTCAGATGAAAGGCTGAGTTCCCGGACCATGATGCCTTGCTTGACATCCCGCTTCCCATCGCCCGTCATTGCGCCTGTGGCTTCAGGCTGAATGCCAGTTTGGGGAGGGCCAAGGTTTTTCACCAAATCTCCTAACTTGTACAGCTCACAACAAGCCCTTCCCTTGCAATAATACTTGGGAATCCCCAGCAAGTGTTCATCAATTCGTCAAATGATCAAATGTTAGCAAAGAGAAGCCAAACTACCTGCCTTTAGCACAAGGATCTGCATGTACAAAGGCCCCAGCGAGCCTGCCAAAGAAGCTGTCAAGTGGGATGTGCCAGCAAAATTGAGGAATACCATTACTAGTACATGAGTCTCAACAATAAACAACATGGAGTGCCATAATTGTCATTGTATCAATGATGAACATATGAAAAATCAAGTCATGATTCTCTTCACATGCCCACTGAGTGGCCTCTTTGAGGGGTTCGCGTAACGGTCTCCCACTGCGCTTGCGCTGGAGCCACAGCTCGTGACAGTCAATGAAGGTTGGCTTAGCAGCAACTGAAATACACCATGAGGGCACAAGGAAAATCCCTCGACTTGAAGGCGAGGGATCAACTTTTTAAGCTGAAAAAAGAAGCTATATACCCTAAATAGACCTCAAACAACGTGCAAAAGGAAACCAGCTTCTGTCGAACGATGATCATGGCAAAAAGGAAACCAACAACATCCCATGGCTGCACAACAAAGTGCTTTTTGGTCCGACTCATCCTGCTGGGCGGGCTTCTATGACCTCAACACAGGTCAGTCACATGCGACATCCAAGCGAAATGTCAGACACGTGCGACATGTCCAAAATAGAAAGAATATGAACGAACGCTCAAGCAACACACTGGGTGCAAAGGCAGCATAAACAGGCCGATGATCTGAATGATCTGCTGCCCTGAACGTCAGGGGTGGCATCATGGGAGCTTCATGGATGTTGTGTCTTCCTCTCAAAAGGATCAAGAAACAAAAATGGCGGGTTGCGGTTTGAAGTTCATTCAACAAAACCCCTGTCCTATGATGCTGTACAGTATATGTTGCCACGCTCCGACACGCTTGACTCTGAGAGACGCACTCGATGGCCGAATAGTCAAGGACCTTCACCTGCAGCATCTCAGGTCCGACAGAAGTGGCATCTGGAGAGATGTCACAGGTCTGACAGAAAGAACTCTCCACAAGAGTCCCACATGTTTTCGTTGGCATCAAATGCTGCTACGATTCGTACCTCAAGTTATTAAATCTCTGAAAGGAAGAATCGTGCGCCTATTGGTATCTATATTGGTAGTAGTTCAAAAGAACAAAAGAGATAAAAACTGCAGCAAGTTGTTCTTCTCCGTCTTCTTTGGGCCTCTACATCAGCTCCCCGCCGCCACATGATGCGGTCGCACCTCAGATCGGCCAAAACGGCCCCGGCAGGACCGGTGGCGGTGCTCGTTGCTTTGGACACCCTGGGCTTGTCCGACCATCCAGGCATTCGCGGCTGTTCCAAATCAAAGCGCGGAATGCCTTAGAATGTCCATCAACTTCCCAAAAGGTCCAAAGGAATCTTCAGAGACAAAAGAAGCTCATTGGGCACTGTCCAATCTGAAACTTGATGTGCCCCTCGTTACGACCTGAACAGGAGCTAAACGCAAAGAGGCCAATTGAGGCCCGCACCTTGTTTTACATCAGATTCACTTGCTTTCACCCGCTTGTACCTCTTAACAGGTCCGTACAACGTCTCTCTCACTGTAGGTCGGGAAGGACTCCTTTATTCCGGGGGTGTTGTCATTGCCTAGAAGGCAGCTCAATGCACTCTAGCATTTCAGGCTGTGTTTGATGCTTGGGGTGCTTGAAACGTGCTCCCTCAACAATAAGAAGAACCTCTTCCGCATGAGCCACCCCTCTGAGAAAAAAGATCTGATTGTTCATTCGCATCTGAGACTTAAAGCGACTCCTTCTCGAGATCCTTTTCCGCTTCACTCCTCTCATCTGCGCGATGGGGTGCAGTTGCTGCAGCATAGACCTCATTTGTAGCTACATGGCAGGTCACCGCCACGGACTTTTACACTTCCTTCTGCATGATTATTCACAGTGATTCAACAAAAAAGACACCTAACCACAAAAAGGTTTATATAATGGAAGTATATGGAAGTATGCACTTCTCCATGTCTATGGGAAATATGATCAATGACTTTTGCCTTTTCCGGAAAGCTTCCATTGCTTTAAATCCTCCAAGCTGCAAAGTGCGGCGCGCTTCTTCACGCAGTTCAGCTGCTGTTGGCTGAGTCACTTTGAGGCCTTGGAATTGGATGATCATCGGGTACTAACAGGGATCATGCTGAAGATGTTGAAAAAGGATCTCACAGAATCTCACATTGGTTTAATGCATGGTTCTGCATCCTTCAGGTGTGTCTGCCAAAATGCATGGTTTTGCACTCATTGCACTGCTGCATGCAACCGAAAAGCTTTCAATGGGAGCATCTGACGCATCGGAAGCAGCATCCAAATCTTGGGGCTGCAATTCATCCCACTCATCCCACTCTTCATCCTGAGCGAGTTGGAATCCACATCCGAGCGACTCTTTCGCATGCGAGTTCGAATTCGCTTTCTCCTGGGCCTGGAGCAATCGAATTGAAGCGAGGAACTCACAGGGTGGCATGTGAAAGAAACAAAACGAGAAACGTCCAATGCAGTCGGAACGCAAAGGCGAGCGGTTCTGGGGCATGGGCAACGACCTGTGAGGTCACAAGATCGGCGTCACATGGACATGGTGAGTCAATTGATCTGAAAACGCTGAACGAAGTCTCGATTGCCGCAGTTCAGCACAGAATGTCAAAGGGCCGAGTTTATGATAGTTTATGCGAGTAAAGGCATTAGAATGCATTAGAAAATAGTCATTGTTTACAGGTCCTGTTACAGGTCAGTTTGACCATGACCGGTCTCATGCTTATCGGATCTTCTGAGTCTCTGAATGATCTGTTCGATTGTTTGAGTGGAAAACCCCGGAGCTTTGGCCATCGGCCCCAAGAATGACTCCCCCCGAATCGGGCAGAGCCCGGATCTACGGCCCCCTGCGCCTCCGGTCCTCGTTCCAGGAGCTGCAAAAGCTTCGCCGGAAGCTCCGCGGAACCCGCGGATGCTGCGCCATCCTCGGACGCGCCGTGTGGCGCTGCCACGGGGTCGGCGGACGCCTTTGCACCTGCCAAACAAGTGGATCAGCACCAAATCGCTATGCCAAAAAGGATATCAAAAAAGGAACCAATGCGGAATGATCAGAACTTGAAACGGCTTTACGACTGCTGGAATCAGGTGTTTGTTGCGATCTTGCTGGTTGCAAGAAGAGGTTGGCATTCTTGCCTTCAAAAGCAGACAAAGCAATTTTTCAGCTTTTGTGTCTAGTCCTTGGTCTTGACGCCCTTGATTTCTCGGTTAGCACCAGGTATCAGTTACTTCGAGGATCACTGAAACGAACAAATGGCCGCTACTCTCCACGCCTCCAGGCTTGCCACGCCTCTGTCGAAGCAGCCAGGGAAACAGCTCTGACGTCTTGTAGGCGCTCGTCCAGACCGTATGTCCCAGGTCCTGGCAGGATGGTCATGCCAGGAGGTGTTTTTTTCTTCGAATGTATCACAGCCTGTGTCACAGCCTGACTAGAGTGGGGAGGACAATTCTGTGCCTACCATGTGTACCTCTCTCCCAGCATCCAAATCCAGCCAACCATATCCAAACCTTTCCAAACCTCAAGGGAGCTCGCTTTCTCTCGCTCTGGAAAGCTGGCATTCGTGGTGATGTACTTGGCACAGACCCAGGGGCTGACATGACCGTCTATGTTCTCTGTCCTCGTACTTGGTCAACTTCAGCTTTGCACGCCCGCGAGCTTTGCCTCCCAAGGCTTCATAGAGAAGCAGAGAACCGTCGGGATCCACGATCTTGTCCTGCCAAGACGACGGCGATCTTGTCCGCCGATGACCAGGTGTTCTTGAGGAGTCTCGCCGTCCCTAAGAGCCCTCATGACCTTACTCAAGGTGTTGCACGCATTGGTGTTCTGGGGTGGGCCATGCGGCCTGGTCGTGGACATGGATTTTTGGCAGGTTTGGAGCCTAGAACGAAGACATCAAACGATTCTTGACAAAGAACACGAGTGACTAAGTACCGAAGCACTTCACAGACCAACCATCACTTCATTCGTGGATCCACTGCCCTTGGCGCTCCTTCAAGCCATGGAAGAGCCAAACGGGAAGTTCTCCTTGGTACAAGTGGAAGCTGGGATCCAGTGCCCGACCCCCAAGCCCCCAAGCACCCGAAAAGACCATCCTGGACAAGTTCTTGAACACGGCAAGGCAGAAAAGTGTCATGACCGCATCAAGGATGACTGATCATCTGTAAGGACCTACAAAGCACATCAAAGCAGATCCAAGTACAATGGTGTGGATGCATCATGGCAAGCAACAAGCCATCTCTTCGTTTTGCGCTTTCACATGCGTCCAACATCCATGAAGAATGTTTCGAAGTTTTGTGTCCAATGATTCCCGTTGTTTAATACAATTTGCCCACCTCCACCTCTACCCGCTCTACCTTCAGCCACGCATCTCAACTTCTCAAGGTCCTCCTCTTTGGGAGCCACTTTGGCCAGTTGCAGCATCGCATTGAGACTCGTGTCCCTCCTGTCGAGCTGTCCACGAGCGGGCCGGACAGCGCGTGGCCGGCGCTTCGGGGTGTTTCGGAACCGAGGCCCCGGCGGAAGCGGTCGAGTGAAGCCTCCACACACAGCCACCCTGGGCGAAACCGGGTCGACGCCAAGACACAGAGTCTTGCAATTTGCGTTCCTGGTCAAAGACATCGAATCGAAAGACATGAAGAAAAGGGATAGGATAAAGTAGGAAGGTCTTTGGATGTCTTTTTTCGTGTAGGCCCCGTCGAAAGGGATTGAAGGGGCCCAAAGACCTTCTGATATTCCGTTGCTCATATTCCTGGCAGTTCGCACAGGTCTTGCAGCTCTCCGTCGAAAAGACCTCCTACACGACTGGCACCCCAAGTCAAAGAATGGGATCAAAAAGTGGCACCCCAAGACGGCTTCTCAAGCAGGAAAACGTTGCACAGCTGCTCCAGTGTTTCACGATAAGTGGCAAACTCCTTCACTCCTTCACTCAGTCCAGTCGTGTCTCTTCCGAACGAGAGAAAGTAGATTCCCAAAAAGCGCGAAACCGTTGAGAACCTCACAGAACCTCCAAACACCCCTGAATCAACAGGCCCTCAACTCCTCAACCCTTTCTCCATCCTTTTTCCGAAACCAGGCGTCAAAGCGGTGTAAAGCGTGGGCGCCAGAGAGGCAGCGGCCCAGGCGCCGAAGCCGCCCATGCTGAGGCCGGTCACATAGCACCTGAAGTACCGCGGAACGCGGCGCGCTTTCGCGGAAGGCGGCGGAGTAGAGCAGGCTACTGCTCTACTGCTCACGTTTGTTGAGGTGGTTGGCGACCAGTACAATAACTTCTACTACTAGAATAGACACTGGAATCATATTCTTTTGAAAAACACAAATATTGAATAATATTGACGCGTTTCATTCGTGACAGTCTTTTGCTTGCTTAGTGAAGGGGGACATGCTAGGATTCATTAGGATCCCTCATTGCAGGCTCCACATGACCCTTGTCCCCATGTTCCATGTTGGGATTCATGACTGATTCATGGGTCCTTTTGGAATCCCACCAAAAAATCTAGAGGGGCAAGTTCAATTGCTGAAGCTTTGGAGCAAAGTGAGATAAATGAAGCGGTGACCAAACAGCACCCCGCAGTTCGAGCACGTCGGTTCAAGCACAACAATGAAAGAACGAGACGCATTTCGTCGACGAAAGCATGCAAAGTCCGTTCCTGTACATGAATATGGACATCTGATGAACCATGATACACCACTGGTCTTTCGTCACCTGAAGCTTGGCTTGACAAGCGCAAGCGTGGCATTCCCGCCTGGAAGCATCCAGCTTAAAGGTTTCAAGAACCTGCCCAAGCCGTGAAGACGAAAAGCCGGATTGTGTTTTAAACTTTTACATAAAAGGTCAAACAGTCCACAATCTGTGGCAAGACGGCAAGACATCTCTCATTAATCCTTGCTTCGCAAGTTTCTGACTCGTTTTTCACTTTCAAGGAGAACAGTGAAACTGAAGACTGAGTCAGAGTCGCTATGGACATGAGTCGCTTGTAGCTGTGCTAGTAGCTCAGCTCCGTCCTCTCGGGTAAGGGCAACCACTTGCTCGGCCAAGGCTGGCCACACGGCGTCCTCCACAGGGTGAACAAATGGCAATGATTAAACAACATGCATGTGTCAAGTCAAACAGACATACCGTACCCGCATTGCAGGAAATCCAATGGATCACAACAACATGCAGCATGCATGTGATTGTGATCCATGTCTATCCCTTTCTTCTAATTATGAGAGCCAGCACTCAGGGCATTGGGTAAACATTGTGATCCGTTGATTCCTTTTGTCTGAGCCACCTCAGTGGGCATTGTGATCCGTTTATTCCAAACACCTCGGTCCTCAGGGCATTGTGGTGCCACCAGGAAGAAGCGTTGAATGCCACTGGCAGCCCATGGGCCGTTCAAGCGGACCTTCCCTAAATCTCTGCCATCCTCATGACCTCCTAGGCGAACGCAAAAACGACAGGTGGCAGGAATCTGGAGTTGGTCTGGAGTTGGTAAGTTGGTGTGTTCTCCACTTAGATTAGGATGAATGGTCTTCGAGAAGAAAGGAAAGCATGGAAGAAGAGTGGCATCTCAGGTGCTGAGCAATTCTTTCAGTTGGTCTAAGTGCCCTTAGACCCTCTTCACCGATTCCAACGGAGGGAGTCTTCATTATCTTCATGTTCACAAGAAGAAGTCCTGTGATGTGCGAATTCTTCCTGCCCATTCTTCAAGCCTTCCACGCGTGAAGCATAGGCTAGGGCCCCAAGGAATCGAAGGTATCATGAATTGATGAATCAAGGTAGCATAGGCTAGGCCTGTGGCATAAGGCAGCCGAGTATCGTTCACCAGCACCATGCAGAAAAAGCAACAAAGGCCAGGGTGCTTTGGTGCCAGCACCTGGCGGCTTGGCCAGGAACCTCTGCAGGCTGTGCCGACGGATTTCAGACCAAGGCCCAGGCCTACGACCTCCAAGTGTGATCGAAAAATCCACTCCACTCCAGCTGGACTCCAGCTGGACTGAAAGAAAAGCTCTCGGGTTTCAGTTTTTGGAACAGTCTTCTAAACCATCTGGGGCCCTCTCTGAACAAGGAGCACATCAAAGATCCGCAAGTTGACCAGCAACTGAACAAGAAGCTTCCCCCTGCTTGACCCAATCACTTCGTCCTCCCTGCAGCTGTGCAGCTGTAGGCCTGCGGCGCTGCCACGTTGCTCTTTGGCGCTGGAGCTCCGGCTCGACCATGGCATGCTGGTGGGCAGCGTTCTGATCAATCACCGCATAGAGTTTTTCGTTGAGATGAACCAAAATCTGTTCGTGGGTGCGTTAAACAATGTTTTGGAGGCCCCACCTGTTTGTAGAAGAAATTTGCAATTATTTGGTATTTGGAAGCATTGATTCTACAATTGTTGTCATTTGTCTTCCTGGAAAAACCATGACTTGGAAACTTCTCGGCTTTCGGCTTGTCACTTTGATGCCGAGCGATTGTATGGCAATGTCATGCCCAAGTATGGGCAGCAACATTGCAACATTGTATGTTTGTTCATTTCGAGAGGCAGTAGCTGTACCATGATTCCAAGCGATCAATGATCTCAGTCTCGCTCCCGGGGCACGTTGGATGAAAGCAGACCTGGAAGAAGGCGCGTCTATACGCGGTCGGATCAGTGTGACGTGAACAAAACACATCAAGGCTCCAAGCATCTCCAAGCCTCATCTGCATGCAATACGAGTTCTTAACATGTCTGAACAATCGCCGACATCCAGTTTGTCCTCTTTAAGCATTCTGACAGTCAGGAAGAAAAGCTTGAGATCATCCCGAGTTCTTTGGTATTCTTTTTCGATCACCTCCACAATTTTTGACTGAGATCCTCAACCCCCAACCCACACAGACATGCCTGTTTGGAGGGTTGAGAATCCCCATACAAGCCCATTATCCATCCAACAACCAACACGAGTCACGAGGCAGCCTCGGTGCACGGACCAACTAAAGAAGTTCAATGAATGATGGTCGTATGCTAATTAAGAATCTAATTTGGTATGTTTATGCCGCTTACTGTTGTACAACAAATCTCACACCCCCGCCTCTGCCTCCTCAAACTCTACCTGCCCGGCTTCGCGCAAACGCCGTAGCTGGCAACGCTCCTGACATGTGTGGAGCATCCCTCCAAGAGAACCGATGCCTATCCAAGACAGGCGTGACGAGCACTGGTGTCGAAAAACACACCCCCAAAATAAGCACCTTGAATTAAGGGTGCCTTTACACTCGGAATCCCCTCAGATATCCCTATATTACTAGTCTCTATAGCTGCCCCAATTAGCTCGGTGCATGGCTCATCTCCAACCCGATGCGTCGAACGGTCTCACGGTTCGCGGCTCACGGTCGTTTCGCACTCCTGCAGGTCTCGAGCTTCACCCGCTTGGCATTTGGCGATGGCCGCGTCGAACCTGGTGGCACGAGCAGTGCATCTCGGTCGTGGGGATTTCTGCTTGGTCGTTGGGATGGAGGAGACATGTAGATGGAAATGAAATGGATTGACACTGGATGTGTGTATTCAGACTTTGAGATGGTTTACCACATGCCCAAAGGAGAAATCATGAGAAATCCGAAATCCACAAACATGTCCTCAAAGTTGAGCCTCGGAGATGTCTTCTCAAGATATCTCAAGAAATGTTAAGTCCCCAAGTCATTTCTTGGAGTTGTGAGGAGCTGATGAGCTGTCTGGATTTGTGAAAGGGAAGGAAGGAAGGAAGGAAGGAAGGAAGCAAGGAAGCAAGGAAGCAAGGAAGCAAGCAAGCAAGCAACCAAGCAAGCAAGCAAAAGGAAGGAAGGGAGGAAGGGAGGAAGGGAGCAAGGGAGCAAGGGAGGAAGGGATGAAGGAAAACACCTGAAAAAACTGCGAGGTCGCAAGTCACACGGTCCAATTCCAAAGAACCGATTGCGCTGCAAACGTTGGTCAGGCTGGTCAGGCAACTGGAAATACATCATTGCAATGACAATGAGCATCTTCGTCCTGAAGGAAGATTGATCTTCCTCCTGCCTGTCATTTTGGTAAAATCCACTCAGTCACTTCCTGATTGTCTGGCCCACTTTACACGACAAAACATTCAACCCCGAAACAACTGGATGCTCCGCCTTTGCAGAGTCAATTTCGATGAATCTATAATATGTAGGAACAAGTGCATCGCTTCTAGTAACAAGTGCCTTACTAGTAGTAACAAGAAGCTACTAGCAACAAGTGCGTCGCTTCTAGTAACAAGTGCCTTATATGCGTTATATGCGTCACATTGTGAACCCAAACCACCGCACGTGCACCGATCGCGTGCCTTTTTGACCAAACATTAGCCGCATTAGCTTTCCTCTGCGCATCCACGCGCCGGAAGAGGCACTGTGCTGTGAGATGCTGAGAGACCATTGCCATCTTGGCCATTGCTGTGAGGTAAAGCACCCTCTGCTCAAAACTCTCATTGATGCCTGAGTACCATGAAGACACAGAAATTGAAATCATCATGGTTCATTGAAACTCTCATTAAACTAGTCCGTTTCACATCCTTTACCTGTCAGAGTCTTTAGCTCAGGCACTGACGAGGCTGACACCAGAGTCCAGAGTGATGGAAAGGACGACGCCCTGAGGATGTGCATGCTTCCAAAGTGCCCTCATACCACGACTACTAGTAGCAAGAAGCTACTACATTGGAGGCCCTCGCTCTCTTAGGTTTGGGGCCATCGCAATTAGGTTGGAGGCCTTCGTTAATTACTAGGGTGGAGGCCATTACTACTAGTAGCAAGAAGCTACTAGGTTGGAGGCCATCGCTCTTAGGTTGCAGGCCGTCGCTACTAGTAGCAAGAAGCTACTAGGGTGGAGGCCATCGCTACTTGGGTGGAGGCCATTGCTACTAGTAGCAAGAAGCTACTAGGGTGGGGGCCATCGCAATTATTAGGTTCCTTTTGCTATGGGTGTGGATGCCAGTCTTCCATCTGAACCTACAAGTCAACCGCTATGACTATGCCACTGTATTGCGCTAACTCATGTCATCTGACAACTAGGTTGATTGACGTTGATAGTGAGAGAAGTGGAGGTGCCTGGTGCCCTTCTTACGCCACCTGGATGTTCAATTAGTTGGCTACTTCTTCTGATTTTTCCGCATCACCACCACTGGGACTTCATTTAAGCAGGCGCGTAAGTCTGCTCATAAATCCAAACAACGTGACAACTGGATCCACTACAGTAGGAAACTCTAGCGGCGGCCTTTGAAAGGGTGCGGTTTTATTTGGGGATTCTTTTGCGTTCCGTTTGGGGAATTTTTGCGCGGTCGCGGAATGTCTATGTTTCCTTCAGTTGAACTGGAAAAGCATTGCGCTTGGGGAATTTTTTGCGCGGCCGTGGTTCCTCTACAGTTCCTTCTGGAAATGCTAGCAGTTCATAGAAGAGATAACTGTCCAGGAGGCAATTTTCCATGTCCACCAACAGCCACAAAAGCCAGAATCAGATATAAAGCAAGAAGTAGACGACGGATGGCCCGAGAGCGGTTAGGTGTAGGATTTCTCTGGTGTACGTAGGGTATGCTTGCAGCAAGATAAAACGGTGAAGTAAAAAGAGCTGTGCGATGGTGAGAGAGAGTGAAAGAGAGCGTGAAAACAGGATGAAATTAAAGGGATGTTCACTGGAGGAGGGAAGCAAAGATGCCTTCCAATCGATTCAGGTCTGTCCTCGACTCTTCTGGATGCTCTTTTTGAAGAACCCTTCGCTCAGACACTCTCGCGACTAAAGCAACACTAGCTCAAGGATTGAAAAACAACTACCAAAAAGCCATAGCAACAAAGACCATAGAAGAAAACAAGAATCACGACAGGGAATCAATACGATACAAAAAGACAAGAAGAAGGAAAGTAAGACCAAGCAGGAGAAACAGCTAGGATGAGCAAACCAAGCGCAAAAGAAGCAGGAAAAGCAAGAAAACAAAGAGGATTCACAAAGAAACAACGAAAGGTAAGGAAAAACAAGACAAACACAGAAAAGAAAAGCAGGAGAGATCATAGAGAAGCAATGAAAAGCAAGACAAGCAGCAAGAAACAGATCCACAAAAAAGATCCTAAACACAACACAAAAAAAACAACTAAAAAATTGCAATCCTTATTGAAAGCCATCCGAGAAAGCTGTGAAGAGGATCGCAAAAACGCTGACATCGTGCAAGAAGTCACTCCAAACCAGTACGTTTAGCCAACATCACATCCCACAAGGTGGGTGCAATTGAACAGTAAGCAATGATAAATACTAAGTACGAGTAACAAACTGGAAAAACTGTCACGGACACGAATTGGTCGTGCTCGGTGAGACCTTGTTAGGAAAAGCATCAAACAAAGCAAACTTGGGCAAATGTGATCCAAGAGTGGCATGGTCTGGTCAACAAACTCAAAGACAAATGGACACATCAAGGAAGCTCAAGGAAGGAAGCCATGGGCAAAGGTACTAACCGCCGTTACTAACCGACTCTCCACTTTGAGGCGAAATGTGGGCATCAGTCTTTTCATTTTGATGTCTTCCCATGCACGAGGCCCTCTCTTCTTTCTCAAATATTTGGTATGATTCTTTTGCGCAAAGCTGCCCAAACAGGGGGGGTGCACAAAACCGGAAGACATGTTGTGGCAGGAATAGATGCACCCCGGTGCTGACAGCATCGACAGCATACAGAGTGTGTAAGAGACCAAGCAGTTTAAATTGCTGCAAGATATGCCAAAGAGGACCGACCCCCAGGAAAATGCTGGCATGCGGTGCGTTCTAAATCAGCCGCGGATGAAGATGAAGTTCGATGATGCCAGAGTGATTACATGGTACTACACCTCTCTGGAGGTCTCTACCAGTTTTGTGGCCACGCGGTTGACAGGCATCTTGGGTTGATCATCTGATATCAGCAAGGTGCCTGAAAGTTTGTCGATGGAAGCCATGGACGTCAGACGCAAAGGCATCGAACTCGTCCAAGGGGTTAAGTGCCATGTCTCTGGCGATGTCAGCCTCAAAGAAACATGATGTGAAGAGTGCCATCTCAAGGGCGCGCCTACCTCCAATATCCAAACAACAAAACCTCTGTGTACAGCTCGTCAGCTCGAACAGGTGTTGACCTGCTAGTTGCTAATTGCCTGGTCTAAATGCTTGGGCCTTTTAGGAACCTTGGACTCTAAGAAGGTGGGGCAACTCCACTCTCTGACTCAACAAGCTCCAGTTGGCTCGCTCCAAGCTCCAGTTGGATCAAAGACACCTTTAGGAAGATGGCTCCGGGATTGCAATGTCCGTCAAAATGCATTCTGGAGCAAGTGGACGAACCTCAGCTGACCAATTTCAAGCATACTGTTGAAATAGTTGCAGCTGTTCACAGAAGAAACTGCCGAGATCTTGCGGAGAGATCTTGAAAACAGGCAAGTCCACTTTCCGACCTTTCTCCTTCAACCCTTGCCACTGGTCCATCTGGTGAATCACGGCCCTTTCCCCTCCTTCCCCTTTTGGCAGAAACACTTTTAATCTGCCAAGAAACAATGTGTGAGAGAGACACAACTGTGATGGGAGCATTGATGGGCAGCTTCTCGAGAGGACTCCAAGCAGTTCCACACTGGAATCTGTTTCTCGCAGTTGCCTCAAACATCAAATCACGAGAGAAACATCAGATGCAATATTGAGACATATTGAGCACATTGGAGCCCTGTGCCTCCTTTCCTTACACATACTAGTTATTTCCAATCTCAACTGTGAGCATTCAACCGCTGCCATGGTGGAAGTGGGAACCTGCCGACCACCTGCCAATATCCCACTCAGTTTTTGGCCGAAGCACGGTGAGTCCAGCAAAGCCAATGGGAAAGGCGGAGGCTTCGCAGAATTGATGTCCACTTGAAGAATCTTCGGTCGCAAACGCTGAGCTCGACCTTCCCTGATCATTGGCCCAAAGTCGATGTCCACCTCTGCCTGCCCGACACTGCACAGCTACACACTCAAACGACACAAAAAAACACCCAAAAAGCGTCTCTTGAACACCTGCCCACCAAACAGTTCACCATGATCATGGCATTCTGCAACTATTGACATATTTCATATTCACGCCGCTCCGCGGCTAGGTCCGCCCGCGCCGCCACGAAAGAATAATCATTGGCATCGTAGAATCTTGAACTCCCCAATCCGTTTCTACAAACCCCTCCATTAAGCCACAGTCTGCTAATCAGCGGCAAGAGAGCAGAGGGCCCTGAGAGGTCAAAAGCAGGTATGAAGAGTAATGAGTCAGTTAAGAGTTGAACATCCCAGTCTTTTTTTGAAGAGCAGGTATGAGTAACTTACGAGATGGAGTCTCAAGCAGTTAAGCAACCTGCAGCTGGAAGTTTGACGTGCTGGTTGAATGGCCCCTTTGATTCTTCCATCTCGGCAAAGCACCGTGATTGACGGAGCGACGTTGCCGAAAACACGACTATGTACCGTATTTTACAGTGTTTTTACGTTTTGTGAGGCAGAAACCACTGCAAATATCGACGTTTTTGAGCTTGCCGTGGCCAAAAGCACCACTTTTTACCATATGTTTCAGTGCGTTTATGCTTTGCGAGGGTGAAAACACTGTAGATATCGATGTGTTTGAGCTTGCCGTGGCCCAAAACACTGCTATTTACAGTGTTTTTGAACCTGCTGTCAAAAAAAAAACTGCAATTTGAGACAACGTGGCCGCCAAAAACGCTGCTATTTGCGAGGTTTTTTACGTTTTCGTGCAAAGACGTCAAGCCTAGACAATTTACAAAAACACTGCAAAAACCACTGTTTCATTTCTGCCCAGCAAAAACGGCGAAAACTGTCGCCCAAACAGCTCCGAAATCGCAAAATCTGGTGCCCCGGCCGCCCGACAAGAGACATGAAAAAAAAAACGTCTTGAAACCGAAAATCGAAGACCAAATGTCAAAAAAACTCAATGTTTTTTAATGTTTATCTTGCCGATTCCAGGCGGGCGCACGCGGTAACTAGTCCATTCCGTACAGTATGTTTTTAATACCGCCGTCACGACCTATCAAAAACTCACGGTTTTGGCCTCGAAAAGGCCCCCCCTTCCAGGTAAACCTGACCTTACAGTTGTTGATGCCATCCGGATGATCACGCCCTGAGCACCTCGGTGCGGGCGGATTTCATTAATACGTATACACATCATGTATATACACATCATGTATACATCCTCAACAGGCTTTCTTTTTCGAGATGACTGCGTGTGTGTGTGTGTGTGCCAACCCCTGTTCCAAAGGGTGCCTTCCGAACCTTTCGCTTTTTCAAAAGCAGGGGGACTGCCTGACTCTTAACAGCGGCAGTCCAACGAAGAGGCTGTTTTGAGTCACTGATATGGATTCTGGACGCAGAATCCACGTACCTGCACTCTCAACTGCTGACCACGCTGTCTCATTTGCTTGGTTTGTTTCCATGGTCCTTACACGTTTCCTAAACCCACTTTCCTGCAGCTGAGCTCGTCACCGCACTGATTCGAGGCCACTTGTGAACAATGTTCAACCATACTTTTCCTGCTGACTCATGCGCCTTTCCGTTCCCTCACCTTCCTTCTCATCGTGGGAATTGAGTAAACAGCAAACCAATGTCAGAGTGTGAGCCGCTCAGTCGTCCCACTTGGGTGCTGGGTGTGATCCCCTTCACTGGGGCGCTGAAGCCATTCGGGAAATCATCGTTTCCATTTTTGATAACTGATTCCACCTTCTCCTCTTCCAAAACTGAATTAAACTGATCAAACAGCCGTCGGGCTTAAAAACGAATTTGGCAGCCGCCGGGCTTAAAAACGGCATTCCCCCCACCTGAGGGAGGTCATATTTGCAGTGGTTTCTGCCTCACAGAACGTACAAACACTGTAAAATACGGTACATAGTCGTGTTTTCAGCAACGTCGCTCCGTCAATCACGGTGCTTTGCCGAGATGGAAGAATCAAAGGGGCCATTCAACCAGCGCGTCAAACTTCCAGCTGCAGGTTGCTTAACTGCTTGAGACTCCATCTCGTAAGTTACTCATACCTGCTCTTCAAAAAAAGACTGGGATGTTCAACTCTTAACTGACTCATTACTCTTCATACCTGCTTTTGACCTCTCAGGGCCCTCTGCTCTCTTGCCGCTGATTAGCAGACTGTGGCTTCATGGAGGGGTTTGTAGAAACGGATTGGGGAGTTCAAGATTCTACGATGCCAATGTTTCATATATCTATTATTCTTTCGTGGCGGTGCGGGCGGACCTAGCCGCGGAGCGGCGTGAATAGCCGTCAGCCTCCCTTTGCTGAACAACTGCACTGAAAAAACACTTGTCCTATGCTGGAACTGGGAGCCAATTGGATCTATTGGCCACTTCCACCTTGCTAATCCCAATCCCAATCCGACCCTTGCACCATCCTCACCTGGCCGCCAAGGGCATGTTTGGCTGAAACCTGGCTGGCCTCAAACTTCAAAACGTATGAGCCATGAGCGTGTTTCACAATATGCAGACATCGAATCACATTGACATGCAATATCATGCAACATCCAATCGGCCTTCACTGGATCCTTCTGTTTCGACACGGTGTTGGGAGGGAGAGGACCGCCATGGATACCACGGCCTCCTGACGGATTCAGCAGCGTCCAAGTTTGGCATCAGACGGTCAGTGACCATCGTGACCGTGCCTGTGATAGGCCTTCCGGCATGAAGAAGTCGTCCACGAAGAACTCGACAACAATTTTCCAGCCAACCGTGACTGGCGCCAGTAACGCCACGATGGTGGGTACAGCAGATACCACGGAAGTCAGTGTCGTCGACGCTGCCGCTGCTGTGGATGCCGCAGCTGCGGTCGATGCAGCAGCTGTCGCCGCCGCGGTTGTTGCAGCGGCCACACCTCCGGCCGACGCCGCTGCTCCAGGAGCTGCTGCGGCTGTTGCTGCAACCGCAAACGCACATTCCAGCAGCATAGCTGAGCAGCTGAAGTTCCAACTTATACAAAGGCAAAACAAGCCTCTTGAGCTGACCGTGCTGCAGCAATCAGTTCGCTGGAAATGCGCAGCTTTCGTAGATCCCGAACTCCCAAACCATGAAACAAGTTTGCAAATGTTGATCTATCATGATCTCACAGAGAATCTCACATCTGGCAAGTCTTCTGCTCATGAAAGGCACCTTTCGAGACATTTCAAGTCGATGAAGCGAAGAAGGAAAGGAGGCCAGATTCCCTATGACTATGGTGCCCAGCCCGACTCCGCAATAATGTAGACTCTTGATTAATAGATATCAATAAAACGTAATAAAACCATATAAAACCCCCCATATGAAGAGGTTGTTCCATTATGTTCCATTCGAATGGGAGGGTGAATCATCAAGGAGTTTGTTTCCAATTTCCGCCAAGAAGCTCGGCCAGGAAGATCCCACAGCGTTGCTCCACCGGGGTGGCTTTGGTGGGCTCGGTGAAGGGCTTCTGACCCTCTAAGCGATAGTTGAGATCCTCGCGACGTCGCCGGTGGATCGCGGGGCGGGCTGAGCCCGGGGCTCGTCCGATCCATCCAGGAGAGGGACGGTGATGGTGACACTGATGGTGACTTCGTCCCCCTTTGTGAGGAGTCAGCTTGAGGGATGTGGTGGTTTGTTTCTTTTCAGAAAGAGTACAGCTTCAAGAGAAGAGAAAGCAACTGTCCCAAAAAGAGACGGAAAAACTGAGCCCGTTGTACCTGACAAATCCAGAAAAAGCTGTGGACGACGTAGTCTGGCCGCTCCCGCAGCGCAACATGGACTCTTTGTGCTTTAGGAGTCGTGTGGTCAAGGCGCTCCAAGAAGCAGCAGCAAGGACCCAGCAGGTGTCGGGAAATGGGAAGCAATCTGTGCCTTGGCTTTCCCAAATTGATGGGAGACTGCAGCAAAGACTGGCCTTTCACATCTTGAACATCAAGATGTAACTCATGTTCAGAAATCTGAAGCCTTGTTTCTAGCTTCTTGCTCCTAGTAAGGCCAGGAGCCCCGTTCGTAGCGTCCTTGCTCCTAGTAGCCTGAATCCTTGGGCTTCAGAATGATCCGAATTCTGAGGCCATGGCCATCATCTGATTTCGAGCCTCGGGACGGCGCTTTCGCGGCGGACCGGATAGCCGGACCGAGCTCCACGAAAAGCAGCGTGTCCATCGCACCGCGCCACCGCGACGTCGTCAGCGCCAGACGTTGACTTTGCTATGCCCTGCCTGCAACGCAGTCCGCAGCGCGGTCCACAATGGATCGAACGCCACATGCTCCTGGCCTTACTACTAGGAGCAAGGACCCTACTAGGGGCTCCTCGCCTCCAAATGGGCGTTCACCACACAGAGCTGCAAGCCCCCGAAGTGAAACTGCGCTGCTACACAGCCCTTGCTGCACACCTGCGCGGGCACAATGTGCAGCATTGCGTTGCAGTCGCTGCTCTGTGTGTGTGAAGAAAGTGTGGACTTTGAATGCAAAAAAGCAGCAGTCCTTCTGCCTTTTTCTCCACCAAACTGTCTGCCAATGACAATAGCTGATTCTGATGGCCATAGGTAATTGATGTCGGTTGGACCCCCTTTCTATCCGTTTCTGCTTGCGAAAGGCACGTGCTGAACGCGCGCAGAACGCGCCTGGTGCTTGTCAAAGGTAAAGTGCAACGGCACGACCTGGTGAGGTGCACGAGCAGCACCAGCAGGAAGAGCAAAGAATGACAAGAAATGCCTTGTTACTAGTAGCTTCTTGTTCCTAGTAGTAATACCAGGAGCCACTAGTAGCTTGTAGTATTGCAAGGAGCTACTAGTAGCTTGTAGTAGTAAGGTGCCTTGTTACTGGTAGCTCCTTGCTTTTTTTTAATAGTAATGCCGCAATGCCCTTGTTACTAGTAGCGATGCCCTTGTTACTAGTAGCGATGCACTTAGTTACTAGTAGCGATAACAAAAAGACATTGAAATGAATTTGAAAAGCAAATTGAAATCCTGTGCTGTTCACCTGGGTCCTAATGGTCCTATCCTTTGGAGCCGTGACTGGTGTTGAAGAGCTCGCTACAGTATGTTTCGCTCTCGTGTAACGAGAACTGACGAATGAAGGACAATAAGTTTAATTAGAACAACATATGATGAAAAATAGAACATCAAATACAACATCAAATGGAAACAACTGGAATACAAAGGCCACAAATGAAAATAACATACAAATTCAAACACATACAGCATAAATAAATTCGAGTCCTCAAACGGGACCTTGATGAGTCCTCAACTTGGACCGAATCCCCCTCAGTGGCCTCGACCTTGCTGGTGTTTCGTTGAAAAAGCAATAAGGGCAGGTAGGAGCCACAGTGTTCGGCAGTCACTGCCTGGCGGATCAGACTTCCTCACCGGAGTCTTCTTGGAGAAACATTGAAAAAAACATAAGAAAACCAAGAAACCCTCGCCCCGCGGCACGCGCGACCGCGACGCCCACATGGATGAAATCCCACACATAGGGACCGACCGACCGACACCTCTCGGATCCCGCAACGTCTGGCGCTTCGACATGACCAACGGTCCGATGGGAGGTCCCGGTTACGAACATGTCTGGCCGGTCCGCCCAATGTCTGTCCGTGCGCTACGAAGGCCGCCCCAATGCCGGCCGTCCGGCACCACCAGTAACAAGAAGCTAGTAGTAACAGGTGCCACGCTAGTAGTAACAGGTACCTTACTAGTAGTAACGAAGCTAGTAGCCCATCACTTCTCGACTTGGTCGTTCCGACGTCCGCCGCGAGGAGGCGAAACCGTCGGGGTTGGGTGAAACAGGCGGCAGCTCTGAAGCGAACGGCTTCGGGTGAAGGGCTTCGGTCGGTTGGGTCAGCGGGTGCACTTCGGTCGGTCACGTTCTCCCGCCTGAAAGTCTGTCTGCAAGGCCTGCCCAAGATAGGCAGGCGGCGAAAATGAAGGAAGGGGATGAAAAGAAACGAAGGCCAAGCCCTATCTTTAGGGAGGGCTTGAACTTCCTTTATTCGTGTTTTCTTGTTCAGACCAACTTGAGTGCCTCTCAGACCGGCCTTGAATGAGTGCTATCCCTATCCAGCTATCCACAAAAAGAGAAGCTGTGTTCCTTTTTCGGATGTATAAGGAGTGTCAGTCATGTATCTCCTTCCACAACCCCACGTCCAAACTGGTCAAGTAACATCAACGCTCAAGCACACTGTAACCCAATCCCCGAAAGCTGTGCTTCGCCATGCTTTGCCTGCTGGACTTTTTGCAGCAGTTTTGGCAGCAGACTTGGATGAAGCTCTTGGATGCCCAAAGCCACGACATCGCACGCGGGCATCTCTTTGAAGATCTTTGCCAGCCAGTCATAATCACCTAAAGCATGCCACCGTGGTATTTTTGGTGAACACCGAAACATGGTTCCGCAATGTTCCGCATACCGTCTCGACACAAGGCAAACTTGAAGACCAAAGTGACCATTTGGAAAGCTGCTGGTGAACAAAGTAAAAATGCCTTTGCCACTTCCTTGCTTCTGCATCTTTGGATTAATCAGGGTGAAAGCAAAACAGTGAGTTCTGCCTGTCAAGTCACCGTCTTTGGGTGCGTCACTAGCGTTTTTGCATCCCAGATTCCACGTGCAGAGCAACAGCGACATGGCGCTGTTGCATGCAGATTTGGAGCATGTGCTCGGCAGAAGTGAAGGACGAGGACGGTCTACATCCTGTTCTGAAAACCCTCCAGCCATGCACATTCATGGTGCACGTGTCTGTTTTTGTTTCCAAAGCAAGCCTTCGTCGATGCACTAAGCCTTTCAACCGCTTTGCAACCTTGCGAACTGTCTCTCAAGCAAACCATGTGTCATTGAAGCAGCGCTGCGCTCTGCACCGGTGTAGCTGAGGGATGTGTATACTGCATTGTACGTCGTACGTCTTGCTGAGCAAAGATTCAGCCAGTGACATGCACCTTCAAGAGACAAAGTTTGGGAAGTTATTCGGAGCTATGACTAAATAAACTATGCCATGGTCCATAGTGTACTCCTGGAGCCGTGTCATTCAGAAAATTCATCAAATGCCTTAGTCAAAAAAAAAAAAAGATCCTGTGGTAGCTGCAGATCCCTTCTGCTCCGCCTAGCTTACCAAAAAGCAAATTCCTGTCTCAAAGTCATGCCTTCCTGACAGCACGAGTCCACCACTTTTCCATCCACCACACCATCAAAGCAGGTGCGGTGCGGCAAGACTGCTGTTAGTGTGGGCTTTGACACAGGATTGACCGAAACACTATCTTGTGAAGAAAGAATTCAAATCCTGTATGCCAAGCCGTCTCACAAACCCTTGTGAGCGAAGCCTAAGCTAGGCTCTACTCCCAGAATTCCGGGGTCAAATAGCATGAGTTCGGATGCTGGGACATGCTCATGCTCCATGCTGAAAAACGCTTCAGAACATCATGCATTATTCAACAGCTCATGTCACGTGTTTGTGACTGCCGTGTTTGTGCATTCATCCGGAATCCTCGAGTCCTTAAGATCTGTGGAAATGCCCTGCCCGCTTCTGCGGTTGTGATACAGGCATGTCATGGTCGCGATGGGCTGTCTGCGAAAATGCATTTTCCAGCACGGGTCGCCATGGGGATGTCTGAAGATTGGAGCTTGAAAGTGTGAATCATTACAAAAATCATGACAAAAACATGACAAAACATCCCCATGTCAGTGTCTACGACTGGGTGACTGGCACTGTTTTAAGGGCTCCAGGGCGCCGCTCCGTTCTTGTTCAACACAAATGGCCACCAATGCAGCCGCGATCTCAACAAAAAACCGTAAAACAAGTCTTCGCAACTTGGGAGAATTGGGGGAGAATCTGTTCCACTCCACTCCAGTGTTTTCTCTTTCCCCGTTTCAACTTCCACCGAACCAACTCCAAGAAGTGGGAGCGATGCCGCGGTTCCGCGGAGTCCGCGGCGCCGACGGAACGACGTCAACTCGTCACACGGAGCCGTCGTTGTCGTTCGAGCTCGTGGAGCGGCCGCGCTTAAAGGAATTGAGACGCGTTGGAGTCTTAGTCGCCTGGGCCGGTCCGAGCCGTGATGTCAATGTGATGTCCGTCTTCCGCGGGTCCGTGCGGCGGAGGTTCGGCTGAGTGAAGACATCGGACGAAAAGAAGCTGTTTGGCCCTTTTTTTCCGAACCGTGGCATCGCTATTAGCAGCAAGAAGCTACTAGATTGTTCCAAATGTTCCAAGCCTTTCAATACACAGCGAACAGAATGATCAGAAAAAGAATCCTGCAGTTCCACCCTAGCCATTTTTCTTGCCGGCGAGACCAGTTGCCTTGAAGGCGAAAGAGGGTCTATGAGAAAATGATACCTTTCAACAGAGGATCTAAGGTGTAGATAGATTGGGTCTATCCTAATACCTGTAACAGTGGATGATGATGGACAGACCCAATAGATACTTGATGTTCGTCAAACATTTCTTAAACATCGCTCCACCTGGTGCGAACTCCATGTTTGTTGCCTGCATACTGAACCTCTGGACCCATCTGGACCCATCTGGACCCATCTGGACCCATCTGGACCCATCTG